ATGAGGACTCATTTAATATTTTTAACACCTTTGATAATTTTAATTTGGGAAATGTGTTTATAAGAAAAAATAATAAAAAAAGAGGAGGTTCTTGTATATTAGTGCATAAAGAATTTAACTTTAAAACAAGAGCAGACCTGGAAGTATTAAATGAGGATTTCATTTTTGAAGGTTCATTTGTTGAAATTGTGGAAATGAATTTACTAGTGGTATCAATTTATACAGTTCCAGAATATAACATAAGAAAGCTTTTCCTCACTAAACTAGAACTTTTAATGAATCAATTAAAAAATGAAAACAAAACTAAATCTATCATACTGGCCTCTGATTTCAATATAGATATTCTCAAAAGTAACAACTTAATTTCAAAATTCTATGATATTATTGAATGTAATGGATTTAATCTAAACTTCAATGAACCAACAAGAATATCAGGTAACTCTCGCACTTGCATTGATAACATTGCGACTCAAACAAAACTCAAGGTTATCTGTAAATATAATATTGGTCTTTGTGTATCTGACCATAATGCACTGTTTATAAATCTACCTAACAAATTGATAAATGACAACAACAAAAAGGTTTTTTATAAAAGAACTTTTAGTGAAAATGCTATGAACGAATATGTAAAAACTTTTGAAATTGACAAAAGTCAATTATGTTTGGATAATTGTAATGTTAATGATAGTTACAACCATTTTTTGAGTTATTTTATAGGGCAGTTGAATCATTATTTCCCACTAAAGGCTGTAAAAAAGAAATCTAAGATAAAAACTGTTATATTGGATTGGGTAACAACAGGTATCAAGGTTTCTAGCAAAAGAAAGCGTGAGTTGCATTGGCAAGCCAAAACCAGTACAGACCCAATTTTTCTTAACTATGTAAAGTCTTATAAAAAGATATTTCGTAAAGTTGTAAACAGTTCTAAAAAAAGGTCTAACAGCAAATATATAAATAATGCATTAAATAAACCAAAAGCTATGTGGAAAGTTGTAAATAACGAATTAGGCATTAGAAAAGAGGATAGTTGTGGCAATCATATTTCATTAAAAGTCTCTAATAATGAATTAATTGAAGACCAAAATGTTGTTGCCAAAACTTTTAATTCATTTTTTTTTAATGTTGTTAATAGCTTAAACTTGCCAAATCCTATTGTAAAGGGTGTCCATCCAAATATGAAAATATCGGTGGATATAAAGGGGTGTTCACTGTACAACTTTGAACCAACCAACAAAAATGAAATTTTAAAAATAATATTTTCTTTGAAAAATAAGACATCAGTGGGTTGGGATGAAGTTCCCATTTCACTCATCAAAGCAGTAGCAAATAAAATTGCTGAACCCCTCTCAGATATAATTAATAAATGTTTTGAATGTGGTATTTTCCCGGAAAAATTGAAATACTCTCATATTACTCCGATATACAAAAAAGGGGCTAGAACCGATATAAATAACTACCGCCCAATATCTGTTTTAAGTAATTTTTCAAAGATATTTGAAAAAGTTATCAATTTCCGGCTAGTAAACTATTTTAACAGCAATGATTTGTTTTATGAAAAACAGTTTGGGTTTAGAAAGACATTCAGCACCAACAGTGCACTGATTGAATTTATCAATGATGTTACAGGGGCTTTGGACAGGTCTGAAACTACTGCTGGTGTTTTCTGTGACCTGTCTAAAGCCTTTGACTGTGTAGATCATTCAATTTTGCTTTCTAAATTAAAAGACTACGGTATAAAGGGTAAAAGTTTTTCTTTATTAGACTCTTATTTACAGAACAGAAAGTATAGAACAATAGTGACCAAAAACGGTGTGAAACATATGTCAAACTGGAATTTATCTAATTATGGTGTACCTCAAGGGTCAATATTGGGCCCTCTGTTTTTCCTGATCTTTATTAATGACCTTCCAAAAGCTATTGGCAGAGATTTAATCTTATTTGCTGATGATACAACAGCAATCATAAGAGAGGATTCAGTAAATAACTTAATTGTATCAATAGAAAACACTTTGGATTGTATGAAAAATTGGTTTACAGATAATGGTTTAAAGCTGAATATTGACAAAACTCATATAATTAAATTTTCTTTAAAAAACAATGTAATTCTTGATAAAATTCCAAATTTAGTAGAATCTCATAGATTTTTGGGTGTATTGCTTGATACTCATATTAATTGGAAGATTCACATAGATAAGATGAAAGGCAAACTAAGATCTATTTCTTTTGCTTTCTTTCACCTGATAAACTGTGTACCTCAGGATACATGTATCACAGTTTACTATGGATACGTTGAATCCATCTTGAGGTATGGAATCATACTGTGGGGAGTGTCAACAGAAGTCAAATCCCTACTAATTTTACAGAAAAAAATTATTAGAATCTTAACCAAATCAAGAAGGAGAAAATCATGTAAAAACCTGTTTAAAAATCTTAGAATTCACACCATTTTTGGATTATACATAAATGAAATTCTAAATTGGATACATAACACTAAGGAAAATTTGTCAGATGCAGTCAAATTTACACATAATTATAATACAAGGAATAAATATAATTTCAGATTACCACATCACAAATTGACGACTTTTAGGAACAGCCCTCAATATATGGGACTTAGATTGTACAATGAATTACCCCTGTATCTTAAAAATTTAAATGCTACTCAATTCAAAGATAAAATAAAAGATAAAATAATTGAGAAAGCCTACTATTCACTTGACGAATTTTTGGAGAACCCTATAATGTAGATAAAAATTCTCTGATATCCTACATGAGTTTATTTTAATTATTTTAACTATTAATTTTACTATATAATACATCACTATGACGAAACACCTGTTCTTATGTATGAAATGTACTTTATAAAGAACGTATTGTGTAAATAAAATATGTCTTATGTCTTATGTCTTATGTCTTATGTCTACACACGGCCATGAGGGATGATCAGAATATTGCCGCGATCGCGAAAGACGATGATGATCTTCACACAACTGCGGGACATGATTAACATTTTGCCGCAATCGTGGGAGACGATTACCATGTATTCACGACCGCGGGAGACGGTTATGATGTCTACAGGACCGCGGGAGATACAATAATGATTTTTACACGGCCGCGGGCCGTGTGGGATGATCAGAATTATGCCTCAATCGCGCAAGACGATGATAATGTCCATATGACCGTGGGAAAAGTCAAAATTTTAACTCATTCGTGGTAGACGATGATAATCTCCTCACTACCGTGGGAAATGCTCATATATTACTTTGATCATGGAAGACGATAATTATGATTAAACGACCCGACCGCGGAAAATAGTAAGAATCTTGCCGCAAACACGAGAGATGATTACGAATGTCTACACGGCCGCAAGGGATTATTAGAAGTTTGCCGCAATCGCATGCAAATACAACCACCAATTTTTTATATTTTCCAAACTTTTGGCGCCCCCCAAAAAAGCCAATTGCCTTGCGCCCTAGGCACGGGCCTACCGTGCCTATTCGGTAAATCGGCCCTGGGTTGGTATGCCACCAATGGAATGTATGACTCATGTTGAGGGAATTGGGGTGTAGCATTCCAGCCCCGTCACCATATGCCCCCAACATAGCAAGAATGGCCTTGCCAGTTCATCTTGGGAATAGGTCCATTTAAGAGAGAAAACTTCTCACTTGGAGTTCTGCAAACAAAACATACGGCTAAAATATAAATATCTTAGTAAAACGTGAAATCAACAAAGTAAAACTATAAACCCAAGAAGATCACAGTATTGAAAAAAATAATCGTTTTCTGATAATTAATTTCCGTGGATGTGATTTTTCTACATTTAAATGCATTAAAATTAATAAAATGCCAATAAATTATAGTAGCCTACACCAATTTAATAAAGAGAAAAATGTATAAATCTAATTAAAAATTATTATTGAACTTAAAATTAAACTAAAAGTGTTTTAATCCACGTTTGCAACTTGCCTGTCTGTTAAATAGGAATAGCCTAAGAATTGAGGTTGATTTATTTTGGTTGTACATATTTATTGGACAACCCAAACTGAAATCGGACTTTAGCAGTGAATTAAGCCTACTCAAAAGTACTTTATTACCATATTTAATAGTCTTATTTTATAAAATATTATTATTTTTAGCTAAGCTAACTTAAAAATATCGTGTGCACTTGAAACACCGTGATCCTGTCACGGTATTTAGAAAATAGCAATCTTACATTGCTAATCACCGTGATGCAGTTTTCTAAAATATAATTTCAATGATCAGCTTAAAATAGGTTTATAACAAAACAGTAACACATATTAGTTCAAAATATACGTCTATTGTCTATGTAATATAAAAATATACTAAACTAAAGCTTATTCCACTCACCTCCTTCCTAGTTTGAATCACTAAGAACCTTAAGGAAAACACCTGTTTCAAGAAACGTCAACGACATTTAAAATAAACTCCAAAAGTTGAATTTACTTCTTATATAAAGATTAAACATCTTTGGTCAGCAATATTATTGGTATTGGCGGGAAAATACAAGTTGAATCACGGTATATGGGTGAGTCACGGTATTTGGCAATTTACCTTAAGTAACATACATACATAAAAAAAATTAAAGTGGTGGGGGAACTTCCCTTCAAAGCGCCTAAATAATAGTTATGTAGTTATGTAGTTATGCAGTTGTGTGAGTATTAATTTTTCCATGGGTTCAATGCCAAGAAATGATTATGTATCATGTTTTTAATCCAGGTGGAGTGAACTGGGGGGCTTTAGTCTTTATTTTCTCTTTCTGAAAAAGTGATATCTTGCCAAGAACACCTTATCCAATAAATTTATTATTTCCTCCATATCCAGGTGGCTGGAATAGGCTAATCCTAGTTCTACCATTTTATGGTATTTCACTTACTGTGTAGGTATATTTTTAGCATGCATTTTATTAATATAAAAATAAAATATAAACATTGTATTAATTTTTTGAATATTTATTTAATTTATTTCAAATGTTTTAACAGAATTCCATGAAGCTTTCCAGCTGTTTGACAGTAGGGGAGACAACAAAATCCATATCTCTCAGATTGGAGATGCTCTCCGAGCTTTAGGACAAAACCCCACAGAATCTGACGTGAAGAAATTCACTCATCAACACAAGCCAGGTATTTGTTTTTGTCTTAAACCCAATATATATACAGGGGAATCAACTCAAGGAGGCCACCATTGGGATATCGGAAACGGTAAGAATTAGAGAAAACTTTAAATGGGGTACATTCCTTTATTTTTTGTGGCAGTTAAAAATATGATTTTATTTTTTCGAAATTCAGCCGCCATTTTCCAAAATGGCGGCCAACTTTGAAATTTCTTATGGAACACCCTATATTCTATGATGTTTTCGGATAGAACAGGCAATTAAAAAACTTTTTTATTACTTACATTTTTTCGATAAACCCACTCGTTTAGGAGTTACAGCCTATGGAAAAATGACTTCCGGTGTACATTTTACATCAAGTAGCTCCCAAACAAGTAGGTTTATAGCGAAAATGCGAAGAGTAAATAAGTCAAAGAAGTCTTAATATTGCATCCACATTCCATAAAGACCATAAAATACACAGTTTTCCACTTTTCAAGTTTGCCGCCCGCCATTTTTGAAATAATAGAATTAATAGTTTTAACAAATTTTTTGGTCTTTTTGGAATGTGGATGCAATATTAAGACTTATTTGACTCATTTACTTTTCGCATTTTCGCTATAAACCTACTTGTTTAGGAGCTACATGATGTAAAATGTACACCGGAAGTCATTTTTCCATAGGCTGTAACTCCTAAACGAGTGGGTTTATCGAAAAAATGTCAGTAATAAAAAGGTTTTTAAATTGCCTTTTCTATCCGAAAACATGATAGAATATAGGGTGTTCCTTAAGAAATTTCAAAGTTGGCCGCCATTTTGGAAAATGGCGGCTGAATTTCGAAAAAATAAAATCATATTTTTAACTGCCACAAAAAATAAAGGAATGTACCCCATTTAAAGTTTTCTCTAATTCTTACCGTTTCCGATATCCCAATGGTGGCCTCCTTGAGTTGATCACCCTGTATATATACACAACCTTAGTATAGGCCTATTTTTTAGCATGTGTTGTATTGCTTACTCAATTCTATTTTAAAGTTTACGTAAAAGGATTATTAATATGTCAGACATTAGAAAAGACAAGAACCATAGTCTGCTAATTCGGTTGTTTTTGACAACAGATATGAAAGTCTACCTGACAAACTCAAAGTTCCTTTATTTTCCTACTTGATAAAATTATTGTTTATCAAGTTAAATAAAATGAAATTGATTATTAACTAGGATAACTTAATTTGTGCCCACTATTAAAGTTGAAACTTGTTTGCAGATGAACGCATAAGCTTTGAAGTGTTCTTGCCAATCTACCAAGCAATTTCCAAGGCTCGTTCCAGTGACACAGCCGACGACTTTATTGAAGGACTGAGACACTTCGACAAGGACGGAAACGGTTTTATTTCCTCTGCTGAGCTTCGTCATTTGCTGACCACATTAGGTAAAAAAAGAGTTATATTTCATGAAAGTTAAGTCACAATATCTTGATTTTCACTTGAATTCATCATTTAAGATTAAAACCACTCTGAGCTTTTGATTAAAAAGATATAGGCTACTTTAGAGGTATATTTTGCTGTGCTCTTTAGTATTCAGAGTTGAAGATAAATTGTACTAAATAAGATGTTTTGTGTAATTTCTGATCATCTATATGGGATTTGTATGCATGTTTTTCCTGGTTGTGGAAAAAAAATAATATTTTTCCTAGGGTATCAACATTTTATTACAGTCCTCTAGTTTAAGTTCATGGTTGACACTAGTACCCAAAATAAACTTGAACCATTTTTAAAATAATAGGCCTATATTTCAAATGCTATTTAATGGAAAAATATAAATTCTTAATCGGATTTTTATTTATGGGTTTACTATGTCAGAAGAGATAATTGTATTTTTTTTAATTTGCATAAAAATAGTTATCTCAGTTTAAAGTATTAGCCGGTAGGGTAGCCTATTTTATTTTCCAACAGGGCTATATTACAATATACACCTTGTGTACGTAAATTAAATATGTAGGCTAACTTTGCCCCTGTAGTCATCATTGTTAAGTTTCACACATAACTTGTATAGATAGTTCTTGTTAATTAGTGCTATTACAGTACAGTGTCTGTCTACAAAGTCTATGTATTTTAGACCAAATCGATACTGAGTTTAAGAAACTCTGAGTGATCGAGAAAATGAGCCAAATATAAAAACTTGAGATATATTATTGTACATCTTGTATTTCTCATAGAGATACTCAATTTTCATAGGCATGACATTGAAATACATAAATTTCTTGTTTATAATGCTTACTGAGACAGACTGACTATCTCTAGGCTAATTGCTAGAGCTCTGTCCCTGACTCAATGTCTGCAAGTAGCGCTAAGTCCAAAAAGGACAAAAATTGCAATGTGTAACTGTTGAGAAAATATTGAGTGCTATAGTTGGAAGCCAGAGTCATAAATAACACTTGTGTACAGTTGACCCCCTCATAATCGACCTTGCATTAACTGATAGTCGGATTATCCACTATCGCTCGTAAAATATTATAATTTGGTTTAACTGTCGCTTTCTAGGAATCTCGGCATTCCCACACGCTCGGCGATGGGAACGATATGCTAAACTCTACTGGGTGTTACAGTCAGAATAAACATCCTGTCTTGTAACGAAAATGGGTGCTTGTATTTGTAACTTTAATTTTGACAATAAGTTCTGTGCTGTATTACGTTGGATTTAAAAGCATCAATTAATATAAGGGTATTAAAATAAGAGTTGTATTGACTCTTGCATACATCTATAATTTATTCCACTGAAAGTATTCAACTTAACTGTGTATTGGGTTTATTTGTGACTTTTCTAATCAATACTTAAGAAAAAAAGGAAATAGGGGTAGGCTTAGTTTATTTTGTAAATAATACACGCAAGACTTCAGAATAGTGATTATATAATTCCAAATGAATAGCACTCATTTTTTTAAAGTTTTAACGGACCTTTTGAGTTATCCGACCCAGGCCCCCCCTAACAATCAATGTACTTGTCTACTGTATTGTAATGTATAAACTGTACGGGTTCACTAGGGATGTGGACTGCTGGGTTATCAGTGGTGTGTTTACATAACTTCAACTTACTTCTTAATAACTACTTAATGAATCCTTGTTCCAACAGGAGAGAAGCTGACTGATGAAGAAGTAGAACAGCTACTGTCCGGCCAGGAAGACTCCCAGGGCAATGTCAACTACGAGGAGTTTGTCCGCATGGTCATGTGCGGTTAGTTTATGACGTCACCTAATCGTTTGATACTATCATATATTTATTACTAACCATTTTGTACCATTAGGTGAACAATTTAATGTTTGATTGTGTTAAAAATGTTCTTTTCATACCTACCAGTTTGCTTTTATGAGTTTGTTGTTACTGTATTTCCATTGTTTTGTACTCTCTGATGATTTGAATAAAAGTTAAAAAATACATGTTAGTAAAATATTTGTTTTTTTCATATATATATATATATAAACTTATTTATACATTTTCATTGCTTACTCATTTAATTTATGCCTGTGCCTCATTTTTTAAACTAATTGTATTAAGTCTGTTATATAACTTTTTGTAGCAAACTTTAGAGAATCATTGAAAATTAACATGCAGGCCTTTGCCAGAAAAAAGCAATCTTTCAATCACTACAGTTCGGCCTCCTCTAGCATTGGTTAGCATTAGCGCGCAGGCCGAACTATAATTGTGTTGTGTGCAACATACCGTTGAAAATGGCCCATTTATAAAAAGAAATTAGCTCGAGTTTTGAAGGATACTTCTTATAGTTCAAAAAGAGTCCAAAATGTATATGGTCGTTAGATAGAGTAGGGTATTATTATTTGTTATCAAAGGGTTTAGAATAGTATTCTATTTCACTTGCTTAGATAATAAAGCTATTTTTAGTTTTTAAAATAACGATGAATTTTCTTTCTATTGTTTAATCCACCAAAATGCTCCTTTGTCTTTGGAGGTTTTGTATGAAAAATATCAATTTAGGGGTCAGTTATAAGATTGTACTTCCATGCTAGGCTGTACAAAATGACCCATAAAGCAGCAGAAAAAGCAACATCTCCCATTCATTGTTATATCTTAGTACATAATCATCATACAATCATTTGTATTCATTAGCTCAATCACAGTTAAGTTACAGTTAATCAAGAATAATACACTAAGTGTCAGTATCCAATGTTTAGTGCACTGAGAAATTTTTCAACAAGCCTCAGTTGTCAAAACTACTTAGCTTCATAAATCATAACTTTTACCCCCAATTAGATGTTAATCGTAAACCGTTAAGTATGGTAACAAATGATGTAGTCGATACTGGACTGCTAGTTTTAATTTTACCTGTTGCTATGCAACGGAAGAATAATGCAAAAGATTGGAATGTGGTTGGTCCAGATATTTAATCCCAGCACTTAATTTTACCAAACTAGGCCATTCTGATTTCATACAATCAGCTGTGTAATAGAATGTAGGCTATATATTCATTGCAATGAATGATAGATATAAACAGGGCAAAAGTAAACATTGGGGTTAATCTATTTGTTGTCATGGATACCTATCAATATTTACTTTTAGGATCTTCGAAAGCACATCCGGCCTTGGTCCTAGGTTGATATTTATAAAAGAATAGGCTTAAAGTAGTCTTTAGTACTACAGCCATCTTTTAGTAAGATTTCAGCTTAATCCGTTCAGTGGTTTCTGCTAATGGAATTACACTTAACACAGACACCTAATTTTTCTTTAACGGTTTTGATAAAATTGAAAATATTTATTTTTGTTCAAAAGGTATCTTAAATCTAATCTTTATCCCAGTATGATTAAACCTGCGTTCTTTTATTTGATGCTTGCTTACCTTATCTTAAGTATAATCACTAAACTCTTGTTTAAGATAAAAAAGTAATGGAAAATACTTGTTCCTTGAAATCCTTTGTTTGATCTAATATCTTGTTTATATATATATTGACTTTGCTACAAACTCAACCAGCGACAGTAGGCACTCCCTAATCCTATACGTTTGGACACAGTAGGTGCTCCCAAATCCTATACGTTCGGACACAGTAGGCGCTCCCTAATCCTATACCTTTGGACTTTGCTAGTGCGGTACTGCTGGATGATTTCTAGGAACAGCCGTTGTTGGCATAATATTGCTAATTGTAGTGTCTAAAGGAAATCGTTGGCCTGCGGGCCATTATTCTGTTTTATTGTGCTGCCTTATTTTAGTAGTGATATAAAATGCTAAAATTGAAACAACGCTCCCGAATTGCAACTGATGTCTGTCGATCGCCAAAGACTCTGCTAGTTGCTCCTGACTGTGGTACTTGTTAATATGACTTAAAACAGCATTTAAACAAAATTTGTTACACCCATGCTTGATTATTGAAAGTGCTGGTTCATCAGATGGCGATTGTCGAGATTTTGCTGTTACATGGAGAAAGCTACCCTCCTATCCTTCACCTGTTAAGCACTCTACAAAGGCAAGAACTGCAAACAAGCTGAGATGTAATAAACCTTTTCTTGCAACTTTAATCTTCAATTCATACACATTTAATAAGATTTTTAAAACACAAGGAATATAGCTGGTGGTTAATAAAGCTGTACTAATCATAGTATGCTATGGCAGCCGAATCATGCTAATCCTTTGTAAAAATAATGACCAAGAGTTTACCTGAAGGATTACTGCCAGGAATAATCCAGAAATGCTAAGGCTTTGTTCTAGCTGAAGGACTAAATCCAAATCCTCATGGCTGTGATTGGTGGTTTCAGCTAAGGATACAGTGTCACATGACCACCAATGGCGACGGCTAACAGTAGATATATTACTCATGTTATTATATTGTATTCTTTTAGTCCATAGTGAGTTGGTAAATATTTGTGTTTTAAAATGAAATTTGTTGTAAAAAAAAGATCTATGAGTTTGGGAACTGATCTCCAACCAATAGTGGACTTAAAGAGAGATACATGTTTGGTGAGTTTAAAAGAGAGAGATACATGAGGGCGTTTTTTTTTATGTAGGAGGCGTTTTTGCGTATAGTTCCATAGTTCGGTTATATGCTGCAACAAGGCTCCTTGCCATTTACTGGCATCATTTGTGAACGGAATTACACCATTTGCAGCTCTGTAGTTGGCATATACGCCTTACTGTGTGTTTCTAGGAACTCTTTACTATTGAATCTCCCGCTGTGCACGATATAAGGTCAGTGATAAGTTTTTTGATCACACGAAACATGTACGATGCCAATATTCATTGCACAATGAAAATTAGTGGTCTATAACTCTATTATTGTTCAATTGACCAAATAATTGATCTTGATTCTTGAATTGTTTGTCTTTGGCTACAAGAGTGATGCTAAGCTGTGGTGGGGACAGTCACTCAGCTGAGACAATGCTTAAATTTCATAAACATGTGTGAAAAAGTTAGATTATCTCCTGGTATCTGTGGGTAGGAAGTTAAATGAAGACACTCAGTTTATGTATATATTTATATATAATTAATACATTTTTATATTATGTTAAAATTTAAGTAACAAGAATATCTGGGTAGTTTTATGCTCTAGGCCAGCTGTTCCCAACCTGCTTGTTGTTCTGGGGTAATCAACACATCTGTTAACAAGCAAGTATAATGCAAGCAGTAGTGGTGTAAAAGTTTGTGATTCGTGCAAAAATAGATGAAAATATAAAGCGTTTTATTTTCAATGATTTAATTTTATTTGTGATTTTATGTTATTTTTCTTAGGTAATATCTATATTAAGCAAGAATTCATCAGTAGTTAATATAAACTAAAATTATAGGCCTACTACAGAATTGGTCAGTTTTTCACTACGGTACGAAATTCAAATGTTTATTAATTGTTAAAATATTTTTGAAACAATATTAGCAGTCAAAACAATTGATCAAAAATCACTAAAACAAAGCACAGTATCAGTATTTGTTTGGAATTTAATTTTTGAAACCTTATCCAGGCAGGGAAAATGACCCAGAACACCATTCCTACAAAAAAATCAGAAAAAAAATGTTAAGGTAGGCGACACGTTTATAAACATTGGGCTTCAAGGAGTTTGGTTGGGAACTGCTGCTCTAACAATGCTGTAGTGGTAACATCCTCAAATAACTACTAAAAGTCAATAATCTTTCTCTATTGCTTCATTTGAGTACTAAAAATAATCCTAAAAGTTCTGTAAATAGCTTACGAAATCCTTAAAAGCAACAGGATCTTAGAATAAGTACAATAATAATATCAGTCTAGTTTTCATAATTTTCGGTAAAAAAAAATTCGTTGACCAATATGACGGTCACATAAAAAATATACAGTAACACAGTATTATTCGACACACTCGTAAAAAATATGTTAGAATTTGGCTAGAAAAAACGTTATTTCGTTCTTCTATATGGTGTTAGTTTTCAGTTGTATTAAATTGACATTTATCAACTTTGAAACATTCTTACATTACATTAGTTACAGTATCCACAATGTTTTCCAACAAATAATAAAAAATAAATAAAATAAAAAATGTACTAAAAGAGTTGAAAATGTTTACTCAAGTAATAATTTCTATAAGAATTCCTAGTAATATCAGAAATACTAAACACATTTTCCTGCACTTGCAGAATAGAACATATACATTCATTGTTCATAGTTGATGACAATAAGTAAGCCTTTGAGAAATCAGATTTGTAGTACCATATCCTACCCCTAACATTTCAAACTAATAAAATAATTCAATTACAAATATATTGACAGATTACTAGCTTTAATCTGTTTCAACTAATTTTAAAACACGAAAAAAATAAATTACCAATCTATATTTTTATCCATATCACAGAACACAAAATTAACATCGTTATTTTATTTTTACATTTAAGAAACTATTTTTTAATTGAAAAAACACAGCACCGTTCTGATTATGTGGTAAAGGAAGTCGAAATAGGGATGTATCGTGAATACCAAAGTTGAAGTCAGGCCAATATTAGACAAAGCACTATGTCATGTTTTAATGAGCCTGAGTATTTTGATGTACTGTAGTCCTAACATCTATTGGATTTGATCATTGATCAAGTGGTCAGTGTCATTCTTCCGAATGAAATGAAAAACATAACATCGATATAAAAACATTGATGTTTTGAAAACATCGGCTATCAATTACTCATCCCTAGTTACAATGCACAAGCTAGGACTGCCGATGCTGATAAACTCCCACAAGAATTACCTTACAAACTTCAGTACAAATAAGTATTCTTTACTTCCGTAGCTTATTACGTTTGTGTAAAATTCGATATCATACATTATCTAAAAAACTTAAAAATTATTTTGAGCAACAAAACACAAACAAATGACATCAACAATGTACTAAACTTTTGATGAAGTCCCCTTAACCATTTTGGACGTTTAGGGAATCTACCGTCAATAAAGTACCTAGTTGCATGGAAAACATTAATCATTCCATTTACAGTTCAATTTTAAGTTTGATTTTAGAAACAGAAAGTTGTAAAGACCTTGTAAGCTAATCACAACAAACTAACTAAATATGAACTAGCTTATTGGTATTGCTACTTCCCTGTGAATGATTTTTTTTAAAGAAGTACAGACTGTTTAATTGATAATGATATTTCACCCATCGGATTATGTTTTGGTGAAACCTAGCATATTTTGTACCATATTTTATAAAATTGGCGTGTATTCAAGAAGTAAGCTACTGAAAGGTCCAGAAACGGCTGAGCGCTCTGACAAGTGCTGGCTTGCTCCAATCTGGATGCAACAATCTAATAAAATGTATAAAACCAGCTCTTTCTTTATACCAAAGAACAGTTCACAAGTACATGACAATGAATGGTTGGAATGGAAGGAGGTTGTGCTTATTGGACCAAACAAGTTAATCTCGTTTAATGGTTGTGAGTCAGCGGTTTATGCTAATAGATTACTGGTTTACAGTATAAGAGATATAACAAACTATTGGAACCAACACAAGAGCATGATGTTTTGGGAAAAAGCTGTAGAAAGATTTACTACTGTACTTGTTTGTTCCCCATGTTAATAACTATTTTCATTGAACAAACTTAAGTTAATCAGGCATAACTAGGTAATACATTTCTTGATCTATGATTTAATAAAAATTTCAGAGACATAAGGTGAAGACTTAACTATTTTCTCAATGGTTTATAAAATAGGATGAAGAAAAATGTTTGAATGTTTAGTTAACTTTTTTTAGTTTTTAAATACATTTGGTTCATCGATAATTTAATATTAAACCAAAATAGCTCATGAATGAGCTTGGTTATGGAAAAACTTAATATGGTCTGCTTGTGGTTGTAAGCTTTTCATATTTTTGATATAATCTTGATCCATAAGTTATAAAAATTAATCCCTTCTCTGTCAATGGTTATGAATTTTGAGCAGTATACTACCTTAAAAAAGAAGTTTATAACAAGCTGTGGTACCTCAAAACACAGTCATATACAATATTAGGAATTCATTAAAGAATCTAGTTAAGCATCATGCCAAGTATTAAATTTTGTTCCTATAACCATTTATGATTGTCAAAATACATATTTAATTTTCTAAAACTACTTAAAAGTCTGATATTTTATCAATGAATACATTCTGTATCAAAATATTCATTCAAAGTATATTGTCAAAAAAGGGATTGCAAATTCAAACAACATAATTGTCAAATAAATAAAAGGTTAAAATACCTGCTTGTCGCCTTGTGGTCCTACTACTTTGGACCACAAGGCGGCAAGCAGGTATTTCAACCTTTTATTTATTTGTCAATCAATTGGTCCGGAAACACCACAACAAAATATGAACATAATTGTCTTTTTGTTAAATATTTGAGGGTAATAATAAATAATATGGTAGGCCTAATTTTAAAAACAAAACAAATATATAAATAAAGTACATATAAATAACATATATACAAATAAGTACTTATTAGTTAACAAAATATCATTAGAATATCGGTATATCGGTACAATAATATAAATCTTACAAAAAAATATACATCACCACTGTTTAGGAACATAATGAGATCAGACCTCGTGTAGATTGAGTTGGAAACCATTTTGAACACTATAATACGGAGTTTCTTGAAGCCTTATAACTAAACACTGCTTTCTCCTCTAGCGATTGATAAAATTGGATACACATATTTGTTTCTCACTCCCCCACTAAGAGATTTCACATCTGATTTTTCACTGTTATTAGGTGAGGGTTCGATATCCACAGATATGTTTCCGGGACTCATCGTTCCGAGACCACAGGGAGAATCACTTGAACGTAAATTCAAACTTCTTTCAATATCTTCTAATAAATCACTGTTTTCAGTCCATAGAGTTTTATCCTCGGTTCTGTGGACTTCAGCGTTTACTGTCACAGAGTCCATCGATGTACTGAGGTCCCTCATTTCACTAGAAACAGATTTAAAACTTCCAGATGAAATGCTATCATCCGTTTCTCTTGTCAAATTGCCTTTGAATAAATTTTGAAACTTTTCATCAGTAAGTAAATGCAAACTACTCAACAAGGGACTAGATTCGGAGGTACTTTCTTCATCCAAATGTTCCACATCTTTGGCATTAATTTTATCTCCTATTTTATCGTCCGTAACACTCTCTGCACTGTAGAACTTATCGTTACTTGTATTGATTAAGGAGCCGTTTTCAGGAGAACTATCACTCTGAGTTTTTGACTTTACACAAATAAAATTTTCGGCGCTAAAAAAGTTTTGCTTCAAATTACTTTTCCAACTTTTGCTTGTAGTATTATCGCTGTGTTTGTAGTCCTCCCTGGTGAAATGATGTTTAACTGGAGCGTCCACAAATGTAACAGATGATTGTTTCTTCTTGACGGTTGACGTGCGTGAGCTAATGCTGCTCACCTCGGACAGTGACTCTGGAGTGGCCAATGGAGCTAGGCCAAACCAGTCGTCATGTATGAGGTCCAGGGGGGGAGCTGGGGAGCTTCCCACAAGACTGGCGAACTCCCACGGTAGATGACGAGAATCGGACGGGGCTGTGCGGGGTTGGATGGATGTGAAGCTAGTCTCTAGGCACAGTTTGTGTGGCGGAGAGCCTGTGTGTCCGTTGGAGCCAGCCAGCAACTGACAATGGTCTGCGTCCACCGCAGCCGCGACACTTGTGTTGTTGTTGTTGTTGAGGCTCCGTTGGGGTTTGGCAGGACCGAGGCTAGTTATAACCTGCAACAAAATTACGGTTCTTGTTTTTGAATTTGCTTAATAATACAGGTTTGAACTGTGCACGTGGTTATACATGTTTTTGATCACACACACTTGTCAACACATTAAGCGCTAAATAATCTTAACAGTCGAAAGTCCTTGGCAAGGATTTTTTTTATTTCAAAGTTAATTAATCCAATTTGTATTACACCTGTTTATTATGTGTTGAGATTAAAACTTCCTTTCCTATTTTGATTTTGTATTTCTATAAACTCTGTTTTTTTTTTAAACAAGTATCTAGTAGTTCATCTCTTTTTGTGGTAAAAGAACACATCCATCATGCCAAGTGATAGTGTTCGTTCATATCTCAAAACAGTGCAGAAGCAAATATTTGGTGATTTGCTTTGTGTCAAAATGTATTAACACTATAACAGATAGTCTAAAATAAGAAAGAGTCATCTTCCCATATTTTTCTGTCATTAAAATTAATTAGCAATTACCAATGTACTGAGTACAATGACAAAAAAATACTCCTTAAATTTGAGATTGGATTTCTAAGTGTACTAACTTTTTGCAACTCCATTTTGTACTCCTAGTGGTAGACAACAATTCTTTAAGTTAACTGATATTTGTGCTGTCTTTCCCTAAAGAATGTATTTTTCTGAGAGCACCACCTAGTCTAAAAAATTCATGATCATGTATACCTCCCACCTACCTTTTTCGAGGTATTAGGGACTCCTGCTTGGATTATTTTTAGGATTGGTACAATCTTTTGGTGAAATTGTAGGTAAAACACCAAAACCACTTCAATAATAAGATAAATACTATTTGTTGTGGTCTTTTAGCAGCTTTTTTACAATTGTACAATGTGAGGATGTAGTAATTGAAAAGGGACTTTTGGCAAAGTTAGTTCTTTTTTGGATTTTTGTTGTTAAATAAGATGGTGCTTGTCTTCTTCTAACCTTGTATTTGCCCATCCACATGGGCCAAAGGTCTATGCATGGACTTATCAAGCAAATCAAGGGGTGATCTGTTCTGATTAAGTCCCCTGCGCTATTGACTATCAAAAGTTCTCAAGTTATGGTCAATTTAACATTGACTGTCGCCCAATAATCTTAAGTTCCAGGTTGCCGACTGAACTTGAGTAAGATTTTTGTCGGCGTGTGTGAGTTTATACAGGGTGTCCCGGAACTCTCTACCAAAATTTTAGAGCATTGTTCCTGAGTAAGAAACATATCTAAATACCATATTTAAATTGTCCGGAAGTCCTTATTTACTCACACAGCCGCCATTTTGCTTTTTCACTTAATAATTTTTTCTAAAGAATGGTTGAACATACGAATTCCATTTCCATTTCCATTTCCATTTCGTTTTGTCATGAGAGCCGAAGCCCCCTGACTGCATACCCGGTACCTATCCTTTAGGACATACCCGGGCCCCATGATGTAGGCCGAAGCTTACGCATCAACCTTTAGCACATCATGGGCGGATGACTTAAGGTCATCAGGCTCGCCGGCTGCCGAAGCAGACCCTTCGGAGAGAGGGTTGCCCCTCAATCCTAACCAGGGATTCCGGCTGCTTGTTTAAGCGTCACTCCACCTGGGTTCCACTAAGTCGAGACCTAGAGGTCCATGGTAGAGCGCCCCGACGCATTTAGTGCAAGCAACACTCGGGACCTATCTAATCCCTGACAGGCAGAACCCGCCATCAATAGCCAGGAGGAAGGGGACCATCAGCACGCTGACGGGGGGAACCCCAACCTCCCATTTACACCGCTGCCCGATCGAGGCCTTACCCATTGCTGGGAAACCAGAGATAACCAGAGCGATAGATCCCCAGATACCCCTGGCGGGCTCGGACCCAGCACCCGATCTACTTCGTTTGCCCGTCAGACCCAACATCACTGCCAGGCCATCAGGGTTTCCCAAAAGGAGGCAGGTATAGAAGTGGGACCCACCCGGATGAACCTATCCACCAGAGGTGGCGACACCCTTGACTCAATTGAGGTTCCGGGAAGAACCCCCCACACTCAAGATAACCATACCGTCCGTGCTCAGAGACAGGGATTGGTTTGCATAAGTACCTACAAACCGTTGCCCTCACACTGCGGAAAGTTACGTTGCCCTTGAGTGTCCCCGTGAGCTGCGGGTACTTGCCCGTTTTCACCTCCAGGAAAGGTTACTTCCAAAGTCGAGGATTTGCCCACTGAATGCTGGTCGCACACAACAAGCAGGCCGAAGCCCAAAGAACCACAGACACAGGTAGGTTAGAGATTATGATGTACTTCCATCTCTCCTAGAGCTAAACACCCCTCCATCCTGGATAAAGGAATGTCACTGGGACCCAATGCCCAGTCGTCCATGTCTGTGGCCAACTTGAAAATGCCGATACCAACACGGAGCATTTACCTCCCCTCTGGGGGCTAGGTATTTCACCTCCCAGGACGAGGCTACTTCCAAAGTCGAGGATATGCCTCACAAAATGTCAGTCGTACACGACAGGTAGGACTCAGTCACAACCACAAGCTACAGGCAGGTGAAAGATCTATGAACTTAATCAACACTAGCAGAGCTGAACACCCCACCACCCTGAATGGAGGGAATGTCACTGGGTACTCTCACTTTGGGTAAACCCAAAGAGGCTGGCTTGTCCAGTCGTCCATAGCTTGTGGTCTACCTGAAGTGCCGGTTCCAACACCGGGCAATTACCTCCCCTCTGGGAGAGCTAGGGTCTGCGTGGTCGCCCAGGCCACGAACCCACGCAAGCGTGAGCCCCCTGCGGTTTGAACATACGAATTGGAAACTTTGCACAAACATTCATGACAATTAGACAAAGCTACCAAAAATTATGACAATTTTTCAAATTCATAAAACAAAATGGCGGCCATTTAAAATTTTGTTTCTTAAATAACTCAAAAACCGTTGATTTAAAAAATGTTTACCAGAATAAATTTTTTAAGGCAATTTCATTACAAATCGATCGACACCTTGTTTTTAAAGATTAGACGAGTGTCTACTGAGATATGACAGTTTTAGTGATTAGTGACCGCTTTCAGCATGCACTGCAACTAAAATCCAGTGGTCACGCACCACTAAAACTGTCATATCTCAGTTGACACTCGTCTAATCTTTAAAAACAAGGTGTCGATCGATTTGTAATGAAATTGCCTTAAACTAGTTATTCTTGTAAAATTTTTGTAAAATTAACGGTTTTTTAGTTTTTTAAGAAACATAATTTTAAATGGTTGCCATTTTGTTTTATGAATTTGGAAAATTGTCATAATGTTTTGGTAGCTTTGTCTAAATGTCATAAATGTTTCTGCAAAGTTTCCATTTCGTATGTTTAACCATTCTTAAAAAAACAATTACTGTGTAAGTAAATAAGGACTTTCGGACAATTTATATATTATAATATTTAGATATATTTCTTACTCAGGAACAATGCTCTAAAATTTTGGTTGAGAGTTCCGGGACACCCTGTATAATACTAGTGTACACAACAGTATTACACAGAAGTGTAAGAAATCACAATTTTCAGGCCCAAAATGAAGTGAACCCTGACTGCTTGGCCTTATTTTCCTATCTTGTACACCTAAAAGCTGTGATATTCATTATTAAATAAGCAATTTTTCGAAATTGGTGTTGTTTGATAGGAAATTTAAATTGCTAAATGAATGTTTTCTAGGAATGTTTTAATTGAATCAGCCAATTTTTAGGAATTTAAGTTGTAAAAATTTAAATGGCCACAATTTTTTAACCATACTTTTTAAATGATTATTGTTATCAAAAAGCTTATAACTGAGCAAATGACAAAACCCTCCCTAACGAGGTTTTTTTGGAAAATAATGTTTTGCTTGATTATTGTTTTATTTTGACTCATTAAACCTATTCTAAAATTTTTTGTATTTACTAACGGAACACCCTTTATATCCAGCTCTCATTGATTGTTGGGCTCATAACAATGGTTAAAAACAGCTGCTCTTATAGTCAGCTGAATTTTCAGATAAAATCCACTTTACACACTTGTCTTGCATCCTTAATTAAAGTAAGCCGAGTCTCCATTTGATTAAACAAATTTCATGTGTCCAGTAGAATATGAAAATTAACTAAGAGGATCAAATAATACATTACAACAAAATATTTTTCTAGAAAATCTAAATACTTATTCAGTGGTGTAGTCACATGATTTCCATTATGGAAAGGGTTTTGGGTTTCAGAAAACGCAGTTTGGAAAATTAGAGATGAAGGGTCTTTTTATCAAGAGGGTGTTGTCCAGAAATTAAGGTCTCCGAGCACCCATCGCAGCCAAGCTGGCTAGTTCATATCTGAGACCCACGTTGTGTCCCTTAGTTTATCCAGTACTATTCTAGTCAGTTCCCACCCCCATGGGACGTTTAGTCTTGTCATAGTTTTTTAAACGATTCATACTTGGCTGGAGTGTCAATTTTCGTCATGAAGTTTTAAGTCATAAGTATTTTATTGCATAAAACATTCTTGATTACAAAGGCAATGGTGAACAGATGCATGGTCAATCAATAAGTTATACAAACTAAAACTAAAAAGTTACAACAAAATACAACAAGAACAGCACAATTGAGAGAAAGTTACCAATTCAAACAAGTTAGGAAAAAGACAAATTTAAATGAAGATCTTGAAGCAATATCAGAGAAAAAAAAAACAATTTAAAACATTCTGTGTCATATTTCACATAAACTAATGGTCAATTAATGTCACACTATGACGAGACTATTTGTCCAAGAGGTGAGAATCGACTAGAATAGTAGTGGATGAAGTAGGAAACATGATGTTGGTCTCAGGTTTGAACCAGCTATCTTGTCTGCAACGGGAGCTCAGAGGAGACCTTAATTTAAGACCCTCGTACACACCCCACAGTACCCTTATCATATTTTTTTCAAGTAAAGCTTGATAAAAAAGTTTGTTCTTAAAATGATAGTGGAATAACCCACTAAAGGTTCTTCTATGCAATGGTTAGTCTCGTCATATTAGCCAATAACAGGGGAAATCAACGCTCGACGCCAAGTATGAATAAGGTTTTGTGACACCCTCACACCATTATCAGCTGCGACAAGAATAATCATCGCACAAATGTGGGGGTAGCAAATAACCCATGGCTATTGTTAGACTTGAACTATCTTGTCCAAGAGTGGAGTTTGTTGCAGATAGTGATGTACAGACAACCCTCTTATATAAACCAATTTAAACTCATTGGTGACGACTCTTGAATACCTCGAATGTTGTAAGTATTAATTCAATTTCTACAGTAGAAATGAATGAATTCAATAATCTTCAGAAATTAAGCACTACGTTACTGCTGGGCTATCTGGATCAGTCGAAAGCTAGCTGGTTTAGCAACAGGCAAGCATTGTGCAACAATACGAGAAGAGGTTAATTTATGTGTTAATTACCTTGTGTCCTCCATATCTACAGGTGGGAGATTAATACAACTGACTGGATTTACCGACGGAACATCATACTCAGTTGGTTTTTGATCATTCTCTTGAAAGTTTTCTAACACCTGCCCAGAAAAATGAAAATAAAATAACTACTAATAAAATGTAGCCAATTTCAACTAAAGAAGTGACCAATAGTATTTTCAAAACAAATCAAAAGGCTTAGTTAAAAAAATTATAAAAAGTCTAAAGTGTACCTAGTTGATGGGAGTATGTTATGAATATTCCTGATTCTGGAATGAGAGCTGACCAAAAGTAATAGATACCTAAGGATTTCTAGATGGTGGTTAAAGGAAATCTATTGTGTGGATGGAATATAACTCCCTCCTCACGAAAATTCCACTTAATAATTTCTCATTGATGAATCTTCTTACAGATAAGCATTTGATTTGAGCTTTAAAGTTCAGCCATAGTTTCAACGTTTAATAAACATTAAGACTGAAACCCCATTCAAAAGTACAGATATATTAATTTTTGTATTGATGTGATAATTTAGTTTTCTATGGTTGGGCATTTTCATTTCTTTCTAATGCCAACAAAGTTACAGTTTCAGTAGTTTCCAGTCATTAAAACATTTTCAAAGCGTAGATCACTATGTCAGTATATTATTACATGACTATAGCTATTATTACATAACTAAAAACTTTTAACTGAAAAAGTATTGTACTGTAATACTGTATTTTACTTTTTTAAATAAACATGATTTTGATTTGATTTGATAATTCAATAAAAGGTTGATTCATCTTTAGAAGTAATTTATATAAATTTTTGTTAAGCTTGTTTTGGCATTTGGTATATTGTAGTTGGTTTACTTGACAAGTATTTATGTTTGGACAGAACTCTAACTATAAGAGGTTTGATAAGGAGCATAATGCTTAAGTAATTATTGCAAACCACTTTTTAGCCTCTGTATACTATGTTCAACTAACAAAGTGGACTTGATTATAACTGTACCAAATTTGTCTTAAGTCGTTCAACCTGATGTCCTTACCTACTTTTAAAAGGATTGTCTATTTTTTTATTTAAAAAATTAATACCAGTTAAAATTCCTTGTGGAAAATTGCTCCTAGTTAAGTCACAATAGTAAACATTAAATTAGAAACAATTAATACTGCTTGGTTGGAATTTATTAGTTAATTTATAATTTTCCACAGTTTTTATTTTTGATTTTGCAGCTATAAATAATGTTTTTCTACTAACTAATTGTTTTTAATGTCAGCAACTAATAAAAATAATTAGGTACATGTATTAAATTAATAAATTTCAACTGCTTTCCAAATTAATGTACATTATGCTTAGTGGCCCAGGATCACTTATAGAATAAATGGTTTATATTACCTGTCCGTCAGTGATCCTATTGTTGTCGTCTTAGGCGACCGGTTTCAGGATAAAAATCCCATCATCAGGCTGTCAAAAATGTCATGTCACTCAAATTGAGGTCGTCGGTAAACATATAAACACACACATACAACACGAAACACGGAAATACGGATTAACATTGCTAGCTACTGGCCAGTACAGGACACTACGACGGGGGCACGGGTAGTTGCGTGGTCATGACTGAGGTGTCCTTGCTCCTCTCCCGTTATCTATGGAATGCCGGTGGTATTGTTGTCCTATTCTAATCGCTGCGTCATAGATAATGTTGGATTTGAAAGAAGTCTGTTCATTTAAAATGTGTTGTGGCTCAATCTTGATGGATTGTATATCTCGAATTCCTCTAAACAATCTAAAAACCGTCCTTTTTTAGGGTAACTATGTAAAATGTGTAGGTTATGGTCAAGGCTAGAATAATTATGGTTACTGTCTGCGAGGTGGTTGGCGAAAGCGGATTTTTGCTGGGCTATTGTTTTGGATGGAATGTGCTCTTTAAATCGTTGCTTAAATGAGCGAGTAGTCTGGCCTATATAATATTTAGGGCAATCATTACAATTGATCTTATATACTCCAGTCTTATTGGCTTTATCAAGACTGTTCCTTTTACGCTCTTTGAATATGGAGTTAAGTCTATTGTTGGCCCTGAATGATACACAAACGTCATTTTTTGCTAGTTCTTTCTTTATGGTGTTGTTAAGAATATTGCCATAATTAGCAGAGGCGTACAATTCACGAGGTTTATCAGGTGGTTGGGGTCTGGTGAGTGGTTTGTTTTTATGCTTATGTATTAGTTTATCAATCATACTGCTTTTGTATCCGTTAGCCACAGCTGTGTGTTTGATGATGAGGACTTCTTGTTGATAATCAGTTGGGCTTAGAGGCAGAGACAATAACCTGTGCACGAAACTATTGTAGGCAGCCATTTTTTGGTTGTGAGGGTGGTGAGAAGTAAAATGAATGGTCTGGTCGGTGGCGGTAGGTTTTCTGTAAATGGCAAACTTTAACCTGGATTCACATTTTTCAATCTTTAGATCTAGGAAATTGATGGAATTGTTACATTCAGTTTCAAGCGTGAAAGTGACGTTCTTATCATTCCATCAATTTCCTAGATCTAAAGATTGAAAAATGTGAATCCAGGTTAAAGTTTGCCATTTACAGAAAACCTACCGCCACCGACCAGACCATTCATTTTACTTCTCACCACCCTCACAACCAAAAAATGGCTGCCTACAATAGTTTCGTGCACAGGTTATTGTCTCTGCCTCTAAGCCCAACTGATTATCAACAAGAAGTCCTCATCATCAAACACACAGCTGTGGCTAATGGATACAAAAGCAGTATGATTGATAAACTAATACATAAGCATAAAAACAAACCACTCACCAGACCCCAACCACCTGATAAACCTCGTGAATTGTACGCCTCTGCTAATTATGGCAATATTTTTAACAACACCATAAAGAAAGAACTAGCAAAAAATGACGTTTGTGTATCATTCAGGGCCAACAATAGACTTAACTCCATATTCAAAGAGCGTAAAAGGAACAGTCTTGATAAAGCCAATAAGACTGGAGTATATAAGATCAATTGTAATGATTGCCCTAAATATTATATAGGCCAGACTACTCGCTCATTTAAGCAACGATTTAAAGAGCACATTCCATCCAAAACAATAGCCCAGCAAAAATCCGCTTTCGCCAACCACCTCGCAGACAGTAACCATAATTATTCTAGCCTTGACCATAACCTACACATTTTACATAGTTACCCTAAAAAAGGACGGTTTTTAGATTGTTTAGAGGAATTCGAGATATACAAATCCATCAAGATTGAGCCACAACACATTTTAAATGAACAGACTTCTTTCAAATCCAACATTATCTATGACGCAGCGATTAGAATAGGACAACAATACCACCGGCATTCCATAGATAACGGGAGAGGAGCAAGGACACCTCAGTCATGACCACGCAACTACCCGTGCCCCCGTCGTAGTGTCCTGTACTGGCCAGTAGCTAGCAATGTTAATCCGTATTTCCGTGTTTCGTGTTGTATGTGTGTGTTTATATGTTTACCGACGACCTCAATTTGAGTGACATGACATTTTTGACAGCCTGATGATGGGATTTTTATCCTGAAACCGGTCGCCTAAGATGACAACAATAGGATCACTGACGGACAGGTAAAATAAACCATTTATTTAAATTAATGTACAGTTGAATTATATTATGAAACTTATGCATTTAAAATCAAATTTACTTTTAGTCAAACCCTTCAAATAAATATTTTTAACTTCTTGCTAGCAATATTACACTAAGAATTAGAATCTTTATTGTTCTTTAAACATTCTACAACGCAATACGGTTTGACATTCTGTGAATTACATACAACAATGTAATTAAATTAATTAAAAATAACAATAAAGATTATTAAATTAAAAAGGCTAAAATAAACTGGCCTAATAGCATCAGTAAAATAAGCAGTAGTAAGAGAATTTTAAAGTGATTCCCTGAAAATTAAAATCGTCCTAGAAATGTTGACTTATCAAAATAACATGAAAGTATTTAAATATATATTCAAAACATAAAGTGTTGTAGAAACACAGTTTCTATAACAAAAACTCATAGAAATAAAAGATTGACAAACTACTGTACAGAATGTAAGCCCACCTTGTACAACGCATCCAGAACTTTATCTGGCATGTGATCTTGGATCATCACCGGGGAGATGAGAACCTCATCAAAGTCCGTGTTGTTGGCCCACAGTGCCTGATAGACGGGGTCGTGCTTCTTTAGTACTTGTCTATAACACATCATTGTCATTAGGGTAAAAACATGGACTAACTGACAGAACCTTAAGTAACATGCAAACTAGGCAATGTCAAGAGTAATTTGTTAGATCTCATAGAATAAAGATACTACTTAGACCAAGAAGGTATCATTCAAACTTTGATTTCAAAGTGGGTTTAGAGTGCCAATTTTGTCAGGAAACTCATTATACTAATCCAACAGTACCTGGTGAGAGAACGGTAGAAAATGGATATTAAATAGTAGTGGCCCTAAAGATGATCCCTGAGGAACACCAATGTCTATGTTTTTTCCCAGAGATAACTCAGTTTTGAAACTAAAAAATTGTTCTCTATTTAAAAAAAAAATATAAGTTTAATTGAATTGTCTTGAAACCATAACATTTTAATTTGTGTATTAACTTAATATGTTGTGATTAACAGTGTCAAATACTTTTGACATGTCAAAAGGACGAAAGCAGTCTTTTGTTCTCTATAAACAAGCATACAGTTTATAAAACTGTCCATTTAGAAGTCTCTGACTTACTATCGGATGAACCCAATATTTACGCTGTCTTCTTTTTTTTCTTTGATTCAAAATTAGAAGAGCACAAACACAAATTAATTCAACAAAGTCCATTTTAGGTTAGCTTAAACACACTCGAAAAAATCCATTTCTCAACTAAAAAATCACGTGTGCACCTAGACATAAATCAAGAGCGATTTATTTTTGGTCGATTTTTTTATCGGCCGATCAAAAAATCGACCGTGTGTGCTTAGCCTTACAGTGTAAATGGGCCTTTGTTTCTTTAGAAACAATCCGTATAGCTAAGATAAAGCCACTATTCAAATAACTATCGGAACTAACACGTCTGAAAAACTGTACTTAGTTTCAAAGTTGACTAGTTAAAAATAGTCACATGACTTATTTGTCGAGCATTTAACTCAAACAAAAACCTAGTTTATTCGCACTTTGTAAAAATCGGTTTGCTTACTCTCACTCTTCCCCTTTAGTCTGTTTCAGAGTGATACATGGCAACCCTTTTATATAACAAACATTTATTTGTTAGCAAGTAAAACTAAATGGAAGAGGGTTCATGCTTAATTTGGTGATTACTAACATCCATGCATCATGATCAGATTATGAGACGAAAGAAGGAAGTAACAAAATCTTTAAGAGACGATCCTTAACTATCAGAGATAGTTTTGAAGAGTATATGGACTCTCCTAAACAGGTAGACTTTGCAAATACATTCATATGTGCAACTGATAGAAAAAACCCACATGAGGGACTATCAGAGCTGGTTTTAGGCACTTGTGAACGGAGTGGCCGCACAAGGGCTTTACCGAGCCTTGGAGGTATATTTATGTTGTATCGTACCTCATTTGCTATAGAGAGCATATACAGGGTGGGCCAGATAAAACCGGTCCCGAGCGAGTTTACGTAATACTCATACAATGCGTACAGGAAACTGAAAAAGTGACTAGGCGAAATAAAAAAAATACATAATATTAAGTAAAATGAAATTTTATTTTGTCTATTTTACAACATGTACATTTAAGGATTTACAGTCTCTGTTCAACTCTGTTGGACTCCTTCCAATAATGGTCTGTACATTGGCCACAGCTTCTGGTGTTCGTACAGTTGGTTGTTTGTCTCTCTTCATATTGGACACATTGCCTGTTGTACGCCACTTTTTAATTAAATCCTGAATGGTTGATTTAGCAGGAACTCCACCTTCAGGATACTTCTCAAGAAACTTTTCACGGACCGACATTATTGAAGTTGTACGAACATATTCCTCCACTATGAAAACACGCTGTTCTATTGAATACGGCATGATCCACACTGCTCGGTCAAACACTCAAGCTACACTGACGTGGACAGATAGACAGGACAGGACGGACGGCAGACAGTAGTGGAAGGGGAAAGGTCAATGTCCCGTCATGCTGTACATCGGCACGTCTCGTATGAAGCCTACGCCTCTCGGGACCGGTTTTATCTGGCCCACTCTGTACATATATGTGTTAGTCAATCTGAAACTTGCAAGTGTAGTAGCTCCCTTTCAATGCTCTCAATTAATGCATCAAAACTCAACTTAAAGGTTTTGAGAGTTAAAAACCAGTGACTCAAAAAGCAATCAATCACAGAACACTGTTTATACCCGGTAAAAGTCACAATTTTCTTTCACAATGTTTACAAATACAAAGCAAAGACTTATCATTCCAGACGGGCTAGAATAGTTGTGGATGAAGTAAGGAACACAACGTTAGTCTGAGATTTGAACGTCTTGGCTGCGATGGGAGCTCGATGAAGACCTCAATTTACGGACAACTCTCGTAATTGTAAATGGTAATAATAATTTGAAAGCAGTTAAACAATCAAGTATTTTAAAAATGAATTTAAAAAAAAATTTAAATTTTAGATCTTTAAGTATTTTGTCCTGTAAGCCTAAGTATAATCCATGCTTGTGTCTCCAGTTGGACCAGCAAACTCTGCCCTCTCCCAACTGACTGTGTATAAACAAATAGAATTATCGTCTTATAAACACAAAACAACACAAATACATACAGCTTGTTCAAGGTACACAATATAGTTTATAGTTACATTTATACAAATGCAAGACATAGATGACGCAAACCATGTCACCAATCTAACAATCTTTAACATAACCTCACTTGAGCAACAACTGTCATGTCTAAGTTGATTAACTACTACAATGTTGTATAGCCTATAGGTGATTGAAAGTCAGCAATGATTAAGCTCAATAAAAAGTTTTCCAGCCTTAATTATATTTGTTTATTCTCATAAAAATGCCATTAGGTCATGTGAGATAGAAATAGGCGTGTTAGTTTTTAATGAAAATCTTTGATAGTGTAACAGAGTAAAATCTACTTGTAACTTAAGAAATTTTCATTAAATTTCTTCTCCATCCCAAGTTCAACAGAAGTTTCTGTAAACTAAACTTTTATAAATAAAAACAAAATAAATACAGATATATTTGAGTTTTTACAGCATTAGTTGGTAGTGCATGGATTGAAACCCAAGTTCATCGTTCATTTGAGTTCTAAGGAGAAAAACAAATCAATATGCAAAGTAAAAACTTTTATTTATGAACTTTTTGGTATGCCAAAGAACGCATGCATAGCAGGACTGTGATTTTCCACAAATTAACACATTCAAAATCTTTAATTGATGAATTCTACATAAACAGCGACAACATTCCATTTTACGATTATTATACATGCAGAACCTTATAAACACATGCTAAACAAATAACCTACCTCCATTTTTTCTCATAACGCTGTCTGTATTATGAAAAAATGATCAAGTTAAGTTTTGGAAACATTCTTAAGTATTTACCTCTTAAGAGAGTTATAAAAGAGGGAAAAGTTATATCACCAACAAAGCATGATGAATTATAATTCAACTGAAATGCCTTGATTAGATTAGTTAAGTGTTTGATGTAGTTTTAATTTATTTGTGAACTTGTAATTATACTAATTTCTCTATGATAAAACCTTCCATATTATTCTACATACAATATTATATTACTAAGAATTTACACTACAGTACCTTTATAATCAGTGGTTTGGTTGGTTATTGATCACGATTGTTATATTTTATGTAAATATCCATCTCCGGGCAAAATAGGAGATTAAATCAGAATTAACAATATCAAATCGGAAAATAATACTGTTCCCTCTAGTGGTGATAACAATAACAGAAATATGTGTTTCATCATTAGAAATGTTACTACATTTAAGTAACTGTTAAAGACAAAGCCATACCTGTCTCAATGTAAGTGGAATGTAAGCCACTATAGACAATGCACAAGAAGTAAAAAAAGTACCCTTCAAAGGATTCTAACTGTCATCTACTATCATAACTATACAACTCATTTACTTGTCAACATTGGGAAGATTGGATAGCCTGCGGCACGCAACTATCAAAGCATGGTCATATAAAAGAATTTTTGGAAACTGCCGCTTTTAGCCATGTGTTGGATCTTTAAATATCTATTAGAGGAAAGCTATTGGCAGGGCGGAACCAGCTTTAGATTGATGGGGGGGTGAGATTAGATGTGAAGCCCCCCCCCCCCACATTGTCATTGGTCATTGTCTCCTGCGGTCTTGGCAAAACCCTGAATAGCCCCTGCGGTAACTAACACCATCATTGTCTTCCATGATCGCTGCAAAATTATGAACATCTACCGCAGTCGTGTAGACATTATTGTCGACTTACACATTCGTGGCTGAATTCTGATCATATCCCGTGACCATGTAGACATCATCCTCGTTTCCCACGGTCATGGAAACGTCATCATCATCTTCCACAATCGCGGCAAAAATTTAGATTATTTTCCACAGTTGTTTAAACATCGTCATTGCCTCCTGCGGTTATGGCAAAATCTTAAATATCCCTCGTGGTAACAGAAACATTATCATTGTCTTCCACGATTGTGGCACAATTATGATCATTTCCCGCGGCAGTATAGACATCCTAATTGTCTCCTGCGGTCACAGCAAAACACCAAATAACCCCAATAACGGAAAATCAGCATGGTCTTCCTTGATCGCGGCAAAATATTGTTCATTTCTCACAGTCGTGTGGACTTCGTAATTGTCTCCCGCCGTCACGGCAAAACCTTGAATAACGCCGGCGGTAACTGGACATCATCACCGTCTTTGCCGATCATGGCAAAGTTTTGACATTACATGCAGTAAAAAAATACGTATTTCCCCAAGGGGGGGGGGGGGCAGTCACCACGTTTGGTGGGGGTGGCTAAAGGAAAAAGGAACCAAACCTCAACCCCAGCGTCTACGCTGGATAACTTTGACAACCTCCTCCTACGCTAAACTATAGTTGTGTGAATGTCATTTGGTGTTCAGCTTTATCAGACTGGAAGCACTAAGTTCTAAATGCTACTAATAGAATTTGAGTTACTATGGGTTCCAAAATCTAAATAAGAGTAAAGTTTGTAATTAGGCTGTCGGCCTCTTCTAACATTTGACTGTTAACATATACCTCGGACCTGTGCTTGGAACGTATTCAGCAAAGCAAGAGGTGAGCTGATACAGTACAAGGGTGAACTGTTAAAAAGTAGTGGCAGGTACCAGATGAAATCATGACATTGCTGCCATAGATTTAGTATCCGTAGAATATAAGATTTTGTAAGTAGTTTTATTAGTTCATTTCTTTTTTCTCAAAAACTTGACCTCAGTCATAAGGTCTTGAAATAATGGAACTAATAAAATAAAAGTGATTTCCAATAGGACTGAATGTTTCTGTCTTTAGAAATAGCATTAACTAACAAAACAAGAGGTGGAAAGGACAATAAGTGAATAGTGTAAAAAATTTTTCCAATACGTCAGCCTTTTGATGAAATTGTTTACTTAATGACATACTCAAGCTGTAGAATGTACTGCCACAGCAACTTGGAGAAAAGGGAAAAGAAGGAAGGTGTTAAAATACTGGTGATGTATATTTCTTTACCACAAGTAGAAAAATAAATCTGGTATTTTTATAGTCTATTCACATTAATACATCATCGTCACTGAAGCTAAAATTTGATAGATATAAAATTATTATTTAAAAAAATATTAGTGTCAGAAATCACTGAAGGCTACACCTATGATAATTGAAAGTACCAATCATCTGTTTAGCTTTTAGGTGCCCTCAATATCACTTTGTGTTGATATTCAATCACTTGTAACTTTATGTACCTACTATTTTCCTATATTGGAGTGAAGCAACAAATCGGGTTTCAGAGTGAATTCCTAAGTATAGGAATTGCCAGGATAAACCAGGGTTCAATGAATATAAAAGGCTTTCTATTTTAGAAATATAAAAATCAAACGAGAGGAAAATTGAATTTCTACGAACAAACTCTAATCTGAAAACTATTGTAATTTTAATTAATGAATAAAATACCAAATTCTAGATCAGAAGCACGATCTGGCCAGCCCATCATCACAAATCATTCAGCTACTGAGTGTAAAAATGTATACTAAAGAGAGTTAAATAAAAAAATACGTACTCAGTCTTGGTCGGGTGATGTCTGACGACATGGATGATACTCCCTGGAGGGTAGAGGGGTTGATGGAGGGTCAGAGCTATGGAGGAGTCGGAGGGGTGTATCGGCATCGCACGGGCTGAGTTCTTCTCAGCTCTGTATTCCTCCATTGTGATACTATCAGCCTTCAGTTCGACAGCTGATGTCGGCATGAACGTCGTGCCACAACACATCACACTGCAGCTGATTGTCTTCCACTGTACAATTCAAACAAAATTAAACGTTATTTAAATAAATATCTAGTGTATCAGTGTGTTCACTGAATAGTGGCTGCAGCTTTATGTTCTGTAACAACAGAAAGGTGTAAAAGTAAAGTTGACTTTTCTGTCATTGTAGACTATTGATCCGTGTGGTACCTATGGTGATCTAAAGTTTTCTTGATTATGTAGTGCAGACAGTTTGTCTCAAGCAAGTACCGTAATGTCTAGCTTTATCAGCCTAAGAAGTTATTTCTAGGTTACCATGTTCAGAAAAGTTTGACATCAATTTGCAGAATCATTGAAAGTTACAAATGTTGCGACAGTTATTTAAACCCTTCCTTAAATTTTTTCAAGGTATGGTTTTGAAAAATCTATAATTGTTGTTTAGAAATAATAATTTCTAATCAACATTTATAGATAATATTTCTAAAATGTAGGCTATATTATCTATAATAATTAATAATAACATTATTTATTTACTAGCCTTTAATGATACTTTTTTTTATAAATATTTTTCAAATAAAAATGAGGTCTGTTGTCTTGATTAAATCAAACATTACAATAAATGTTCAAATCCACATTTGTAAGTCTGTTTTGTTAAAAGTACTGTCTGTCTGTATGAAAACCAAGTTACGGTAAACACTTCACATACAAATCTAGGGTCGTTTTATTACTTAGTTCTACCAAGAGACTACTTTTTTATTAGAGTTTAACACTGAACATGTATGGAAATAGTTAAAGCAAGAGAGTTACTATATAAACCTTAAAAGTCAAACTAAGACCATGGCAGAATATTCCGGTGAAACTGTACACGTTGTTTTTAACTAACATGGAAATAAAGGGTCATTCAATATGAGGTACATGACAGTAACTTATCAGAAAATTGGTTGCAAGAAGGAGGTTTTTGGTTTTAGATGTTGATCCTGTCTTGAAAGAACCATAAATGTTTCTTTTACAACTAAATAAAAAATACATTTGATTATTTTAATAAAAGCAAATTGGAAACTCACTTTAGGATCTTTGCTGCGTTTGATGGCATTGATGAGGTCTGCTCTTAGAGATTCCATTTGATGCAATCCAATTCGAGGAACTACATCTTTGCCCAGCACCACCGACGTTATGAAACTTTTGGTATATTGTACAGCAGGCATGCTGTAACCCAAAACAAATTTAAGCATACCAAAAATGACTTTTAAAAATACAAATGTAACAAATAAGATTGGTGTACAGCTATACCGGTATTCTTATAATTTATGTTTCAATAAAGCTGACTCTTTAGAGAAAGATCTAGAATGGAAATGGAGAAAATTTTGTAAACACTCTATGCTTAGAAAAATTGCCAGGTAAAAAGCACACCCCTTTACGATACTTTAAAAGGCAATAATTACTAATAAGTTCACTTAAAAAAAAAACTTAGAACTACTATTGAAAAAAGAGTAATTTGTGGTGTAAATTACAAATTCATAACTATACATTGTCATGCTATGTTTAAATGTGAAATAAGTTTGTCCAAGGAACAAATCCACCACACAATACCAGGGAGTATAGGGACGTAATTATAGTATAGGGAGTGCAGACCGACGACAGACTAACGAGCAAATATCAGAGGCTAGTGGGCTATCATGGAGCTCAGTTCAACGGATTTTAACCAAAGATTTGAACATGAAAAGGGTTGCCGCCAAGTTTGTGCCTCGTGCTCTCACTGACTTTCAAAAGGAACGTCGAATTGAAGCCTGCCGTGGTTTGAAACTGCAAATTGAAGCCGAACCAGATTTTTTGTCCAAAATAATTACAGGTGACGAATCTCAGTGCTATGGGTACAACCCTGAAACCAAATTAGCGCCTGGACTGAAGAAGTCCTACATCTGGACGAAATATCTGTGTTATGTTTTGTGTTCTTTTACAGTGTATCTATTAGCGCCTGAACTGAAGAAGTCCTACGTCTGGACGAAATATCTGTGTTATGTTTTGTGTTCTTTTACAGTGTATCTATTAGCACCTGAACTGAAGAAGTCCTACGTCTGGACGAAATATCTGTGTTATGTTTTGTGTTCTTTTACAGTGTATCTATTAGCGCCTGAACTCAATTTTCCTAGGTAAGCTAGCTGAACTATATTCCTTATCAATGCTCAAGTTACCTTAGAAGGCCGCCAGGAGGTGAGTAAGCGAAGCACTGCAGGTCTGGATGCGTCTGGCGCAGTAGGATGGCTAGTATGGCTGCGGTGCCTGCGCCAAGACTGTGCCCCACTAGCACCAAGCCTAAGGCCTCACCTAGCTTTTTATGGCCTGTGGCCAGTGCTTGGGTCAAAATTGATTCTGTAATTAACTTGTCCCTGATATACACTGCCGCGTGTACCATCCCCTGCAACACCATAGCACACTTGTGAATGAAAGCTTTGACAAAACTAAAAAAGTGACTATACTAATTAAAGTAAAAGTATTTTTCCTACAGTTACCTGACAAGGCTACTGTAGTACTGTTCTTATACTGATTATAGCACACAAAGTAGCTAATTTCTGCATTCACTTACTTTGGCCGCACTAAATTTTTGCCACACTCATTTTTTTGCTGCAATCCGGAATATTCCAATCCAGTATAGGCACGTAATACGTGTAGGCTTAAAAATAAGTTGGCAACACTTGAAGGTACTACAATCAGCTGGTGCAGCGTTTTCCATTTTGTTCAACGCTTGGATTTAACCTAACCGAAAAACGTGTTTGAAATACTAATTATTTATATGTTTTATAGTAAATGTAAGAAAAATATTATGTGTAACGCGAGTGCAAAGTGCATTTGCTGCACTCGTGAAACTTTCCACACTTGCCTGCGGCTCGTGCGTAAACATTTCTCTCATGTGCAGCAAAGTGCCACTTTGAACACTAGTTCCACAAATAACCATTTCCTACCACTCCATGGAAAATAAACATCCTAATACTGCATGGATCACATTGCCACACCTGTAAACAGTATGCGAAATAGCTCATATCCGCTTAATTTATTTCTGCTTGCCAAATCAGCTAACTTTACTGTTGGTGTTTCTAACACTAAGCAAATAACAATACCTAAAAAGCAAACATAACCTAAATGACATGTTATTTACCACTAAAAAGTTAATCTGTGTGTTATAGTTAATTATGGTGGTAGGAAAAATCTTGTATGTACGAGTATTATTAGCACAAACCTTAATATCTACAGTTTATGGAGGAAAATCCATTTTACATCAAATTCAAATAATTATTCTTCACAATTATGAACTTAAAAAACACAGTTCCAAGATACTTACTTTATGACCAAGCCAATCTTCTCGAGGTGGAGTTAACGGAAGAGTTTCACTTTCTGCGTTCAGATCTGTGATTACATCCTGAACATACAACAAACAGTCAACTTTGATCCATCTATCTACAGTATATAAGCCAAGTAACTCTCACTACACATCCCTAGAACGACCAAACGGATGATCTTGAAACATTGGTATGGTGGTTCCTCTAATGAGAAGGTTGCTGCTTTGATTTAGATCTACCATGAACAAACGATATTTAAATAAATAATTAAGGGTATATTATTACAATGAAATTTCCAGCCATAATAAACTACTGTCATTTACCATTAAATTCATGCAGTATGCAAATTAACTATTGGATTTTGGTCATGGCACTAGAAATTTACAAATCAAAATTTAATGTTGTGTTTTGTGTTAAGTGGGATAAAATAAGTATTATAAATTAATAAATTATTACTTGATAAAAAAAACAAATAACTAACATCAACCCAATTTCTTAAAATGGTTGAATTTTCTCTAAATAGCTCATAATTTATCTTAAATATATTAGGTATAAATAAAAAATTGTTGTGTCTGTCTATAGAAAACTTTATTTTATTTTTAGCATTACTAAAAAATATAATTTAGGTTTGTAGAACTAATGTGATCCACCATTTGTGACATTAGAGATAGTTTTATTAATTTGCAATGTTACATCTGATATTTCCATAGTCTAGCAAAACAAAATACCTTCATGGAAAGAGTTCCTCTAATGCTGACGACCACTTTGCGGCGAGTGTAGTCAATGGCTACAAAGAACGGCGTCTCATTGACATCTACATGGTAAGTTGCATAAACAATCGAGACATCCCCAGCGTTAACCATGCTGCGTAGTGCTGCGTAGTTACAGTGGCAGCAGTTGTCTTCGATTAAAGTTGTTTCGGGGTCTATTTTTGACTTTGGGCAGCAACAGGGAAAGCAGCTACAACTGAAAAGAGTTTATTCTTTTTTAAATTTTCTAATGTATAATTATATTATACGTGTCGAAGAAAGAATTATTCACTGAATGGTCATGATGATGAACATAACAGCAGAAAAATCTACAAAAATTTAATCACAATAAGTAAAATAGTCAATAGTCACAAATCAAATCATGACGGATAACGAACAAAATTTAATATTTTTTTCTTACAACTTTCTTGTTTAGGGTTTAGTAAGTTTGATTAACCACTTCCGTCAAATGAAGGGTAACAACCTTGTACACTCTGATGTCCCTCTAATATTATATTTTGATTTACAATCTACATTCTTCTAGGTTGTAAACCCTCAACAAATCCTAAACTCCTTAGTATCCTTTGTCATGCACAGGGCCGGTTCTAGGAATTTTTCAGAGTTAAGCGAACACCCGAATCAGCGCCACCTAGAATTCCCCCCCTACCCCACCACCATGAACACAACTTAATCCCATTTGTAAAATTTTGGGAAGAACTTTTTTATAAGTTTAGGCATTGACTATTGGATACTAGTCAACTTAGGTCAACTTTAGGTTAGAAGAATACTTGTAATAAAAGACTTTTTTCAACTACTGTTTATTATTCAATGTAAGTTTAATGTTATATGAAGATTTTTTCTTTACAATTATTATGTATAGTCTAAGCATATCTTAAATCTCATCAGGTAATTTCCTCTTCGTTAATTTAGTAAACCTTTGAAAAATCTTTGTAATCCAACCAAGGAAGGGCTTGAGATGATGAACCAAAATCAACAGCTGAAGCAAAGGTTGATAGACCAGGTTTCTCATTATTTTAAGAGTTTAGTGTTGGTTTCCATTAAAACCCAAGTTGATACTATCGTTATAATAAAGAAACTAAATTGATTAATAATTTCCCTGTCAATCACTTGCAAACATTAGCTTTTCTTGTCACCGTTAACGTTTGAACGTCGTCTGCATATAGTGATTTTATTATATCTGACTTAAACAATACCAATACGATACGGTAAGAGTGCAATACAACGTACTGCTCTTCTCTAGGAGGGGAGGGAGCTCAGGGGTAGAAGGGAGGGGGAGGGGGTTTCTTGGTATGACAAAGTAGCGCTGCGCGCTTATCTCGAGCATGAGTCATGAAATAAAGGCGCCGCGCTGTATGCAGCCGTGTGTCAGCTCACTACAAATCGAAACTGCAAATCAGTGCATTGAGTCCTTGAGTAGAAGTGCTACGGTGCTGGACAAGTATACGCATTTTTCAAGCGCTTTTGGTACAAACAGAATAAATGCCTCTGGTGTGGTGCTTTGGATACTTGAACTCTGAGCGAAAATAAATGTACTCACTCGTCAATAAATGTATTTCTAATTTTGTCTTCTGAAAAAAAAAAATTGTGTCCCGTTGGCGCCACTTTTTTGTGGCGCCATACGCGACCGCGTAGTTTGTGTATGGGTTAAACCGACCCTGGTCATGCATACTGAATATGGGTGATGTAAAAATAAAAACGCTAGTTCAAAAATAGTTGCTTAACGATTTGTCAGTTTGATTGTGGCCTGAAAATATATGTATGTTAGACTTATTTCAATTTAATTCTGCACTTAAAAATCTCTAACGATATTAGACACCATTTGATTAAAATATAAATATTAAAAAAGACTTTTAAAAATATATATTATTGCTTCAAAAAATCATATTACAATGGGGTTCATTTTTCATTCAGCAGGCAAAACAGATTTCCAAACTCCAAAAGAAGGCTGTGAGGATGGTTCTTTTCTTGAAAAAGTGTCAAACCTGCAGAAAATATTTTTTTTCAAATTAATAACTACGACTTGTTTTTATCTATTCCTATCTATAAATTCTTCACATAAAATAACAAAAGAAACTCTTCTCACTTAGAAAAATTCTGTCAATGGTTCATAACATTGCACAATTTAACCAAGAGATCCCTTAAAACTCAAAATCTAAAAAGAACAAACACTTTATAACAGCATAAAACAAGTTGAACAAACTTCCTTCCACTTATGTTTAAGCTTAAACCAAATCTTTTAAAATTAAAATACCCCTGCCGCAGCATACCTGCCGACTAAGCGAATTTCCATTTGTCTGAACTGATTTTCAATTTAAATCTATTTAAATAACATTAGGTTTAACAAGTACCTAGGTTTGCTGCTACAAGAAAACTAATTAAGGGAGTTTTTTAGTAAAATATTAATAGCTTAGTATAAAAGAAATAAATTGGCCAAGTTTAATCCAAATTTATCAATAAACAAGCAAACTACATCATTTTACAATATTCTCCATAAGAATAACATGGGAATTTTAAATTTACAATTTTTGGAATTTTCTCCGTTGCCAATAACCGTACAAAAACACTTTGATATACTAAATTATTTGCTTTTTTAAGCTCTTTAACAAGGTCTAGAGAGAAATTGAGAAATTTTGTGTTTTGAGGGTCAAAAATGAGAAAAACCATTTTTTACCCCATAAAAGTCCCCGTAAAACACTGTTCCCATGGTCCGATCATGCTGGTTCGCGAACTCATTCAAGTTTATACCGCCTTACACCTTCAAACCAAATTTCATCAAAATCGGACAAAAATTACTCAAGTTATCGCGTTCACGGACGTATATATATATATATATATAAATCTATATATATATATATATATATATACATATATAAAAATTTGAACAAATAGTGTTTTTGGCCTCTGGGGACATCAAAATGAAAAAGTAAATCGGTCCCGGGCCTAGGTCTTACCGTGCCACCTACGGTAATAGCTACTTCCCTATAGGGAAATTCGCTAAAAAGCTAGTATAATTAGATAAATCTAAGGTAACAGCCCCCAAGAGTTCAAGGGTTTAAAGGGTTAGCAAATATGAGATTAAATAATATCTCGTATTTGAGATATTGTAAATATTAACAACAGAGAAGCTTTCATTAAATTTTGTTCTGACCAAATAAACTATTTGATTTATAAAGTTATGGGCTTGTTGACTTGATTTACCTGAGTTTGGTACAAAGCTGGCAGAGTCCGGTAGTGGAGTGGGTCATGAGGAACATTGGCCATCCATATGCGGCTAAGGCGTAATGCATGTAGTGAATCACTGCTTGAAAATGTTGGTAATACTGAGCATCTCCCAGAGGCAGAAATTTGGTGTTGGAAGTTACAGGCACACCTGACAAATACTCGTATGTGTCGTTCTTGCGCTAAACAAAATAAAAAATTATACACTGAGTTACATTAACAAGCTTTGTGTGGGAAACACAACTGATTTCATAACCTAGTTGTGATCCATGTCATGAACACACGTATATTTTCTTTTGCAAAAAGTTTTCTATACTTTATTACTGTCAGACCACAACAAGATATACAGTAAGTCAGAGCAGGAACTGGATGTGTGAGGGAGCGGCTTGTCGCCTAGTGTGACCGGTGCCAATGAATACAAAACCTTAAAAGAAGCAAAACCACCATATTAAAAGAGGCGACGCTAAAGATTGCCGCTAGTGGTGGTTCACAAAGACTTGGCTGGCAACGCTAGCGCCTCATACATAAATCTTCGTGAACTGCCGCTGGCGGAAATCTTCGTGGCGTCGCTTATTTTAATATAGCTGAAATGCTGAAAGATAACATGGGGAGTGTATTTATCCACGCCACCTAAAAACTCTCCCAGGCACGTTCGTTTCTCTGTCAAGTGACTGCGGGTCGCTTAGTGTAATGGCCCCACTTGTATTCTTTGTCGCGGGGATCCTAGTGGGGACGCAGCCTCATAGAATCATAGACATCAAATCACTGATTTCCATAAAACTAATAATTCTAACTACAGTAGACTCCCTCTAGTTCGGCTTCGGTTGGATCGGCCGCCGGATGGTCCGGCCCGGTCTCAGGGGTCAAGTCATATGTCACGGGCGAATGACCTTGACAAGATTCAACTTGAATATTTAGTTTCCGGCCATGGAAGTAAACAATTTATGTCAGTTTAGTTGACGGGTGCTTCTATGGGTGAATTGTTGCATATTACCTATGTAAAACTATGTTACATAACCTCAAAAATACCAAGAACATTTCATAAATAGTTTTCTTTTTCAGTCTAATATGTTGAAATGCAGTGTAAAATTAAATATTTTGGACCATTTTTTTATGCGGTAGGTTCCCCCATTATTGTTTTTTAAACCCCATGGTAAAGCAAAACAAAGAAATAGCCATCGTAAGCTTCAAGGTCAATCTATCCGCTTGTACGGACAGTGACAATCGTCTACTCTTGACACAAGACACAACTGATGTCTGCTGTAGTGCTGTGCGCTTGCTATCTCACAACAGTTTGTGATTGGGTGATTAGTAACCATGGCAACTTGTTGAATGTGTGGATGAAGAGAAACCAAAGAAAAAATAGAAGAACAAAGAAGAAAGAATAAGCGGTGTTTTACGTCATCCATTGTTATCTTAATCCTATTTTACGACTGTTGTTATTATCTTTAACACTAAGTACTATGATTTTATGCTGTTTTATGAGTTATCTAATGTTTTATCGACATTCTTATGTTCTGAAACAACATGTAGTAGTAGCCTATGCTGACTACGGTTGCAGTAGCTTGCAGTACTAGACTTTTCTATTGTTCTGTTCTTTACGTGATTTATTGCTGTACGTACAGTGTAGTATAATTTTTGTTTTGCTTGAGTAAGCGTGATTTTAAACGTTACAGTTTTTATTACTGAACCAAGGTTAATGACTTAACATATCACGATTGCTTAATACTATTATTTGTATTTTGATTATGTAAAACGCACTACATCCGGTTAGTCCGGCCGTTTTGTAGTCCGGTCAGTGGTCCGGTCCCGAGGTGGCCGAACTAGAGGGAGTCTACTGTACATACTCTTATGCATGACCATAATCTAGGTTATGACAATACCTGATTAACAACATCCTCCTGCTCTATTTTCTGGAACTTCCGAAGGAGAACTAATCCAGCAACCACATCAGACGGAACGACATCCAAATCCCTAAAAAAATCTGACAAAAGTCTTGCAATGTCAGCAAATGAGTTCTGCAAAAAAGAAAACAAATAAAATAAATACACTAATTTGATGAATGTATGCCAATAAAATCAGTTTCATAATGGTTTTTTTCTTTGATTTGTTCTTGTTTAAAACAGTAAGGATTGGATTAAAACAATTCTGTTAGCAAGTTGCCTACCAGAATAATGTCCTTGTGTCACCTGGTAGTGAATCTGTTAAACTAGTTGGAAAAAGTGAAAACTGCTTTAAAAACTTCTACCAAATATGTGCATACCTTATTACGATCAGTGTTCCGAATGCAGCAGAAAAGCAGACGACAGCGATGGTCCCAACTGTCTTGATACGCTCTCAAGACTTTTCTGCAAATATACCACATTATCAGGTCTGAATCATATGATTTCCACAGACGACAAAAGGGTGTTATTAATCCTTTTAGTTTTATAAAACAATCAAAGCAGTGAGAAGTATTTTTCCTACAGTTACCTAATAGTGGGCTTCCTTGCACTGACTATGGCAAGCCAAGTAGTTAACTGCTGCATTTGCTTACTTTTGCCGCACTCCAGTATTCCAACCAAACACAAAACAGTGTGCTTTTATTTGGCACGTAATTTGTATACGCTTGAAAATAAGTTGACAACACTTAGATACTACAACTACGATCAGCGTTTCCCATTTTGTTCAACGCCTGGATTTAACCTAACCTAAAAATGTGTTCTATAGTATTTGAAAGACTAATAATTTATATGCTTTATGGTAACTGTAGGAAAAATATAATGTGTAACTAGTGTGCCAAGTTTCTTTGCTGCACTGAAGAAACTTTCCACACTCGCATGTGGGTCGTGCGTAAACATTTCTCTCATGTGCAGCAATGTGCCACTTCGCACACTAGTTATACAAATAATTAATGTCACACAATTTGTTGTTGTGGATGCATAATTTGTTTACCAGCACATTCAAATAATTTATTGACTCGGAACTTGCACAAATCGTTAACTGGTGTCTTTTGATTTGATCATATTATTTTAATATACACACAAAGCTATGTTCATCTACATAGATGGAGTAAATGTATGTACAAATAATAGTAAAATTAAATGGGAATAAAAATACACATTGTGAAAATTAAAAATATTGTAGCATGTTATTACAATTATCTACTGATTATTAGTCCTAAAACAAGAAGACTATTAAAAATATAATATTAAAAATTTGTTTAGTATAGATATACCTTTGCCTCCAATTTCTCGTTCGGTTTCCAGACCTTTTGTATTGAAACCTAGACTCAGACTCTCTCATTGACCGCTGATATTTCTTCATTTTCACCCATGATCGACCGGCCGCGTCGAAAACGCACCAAACTGTCAGCATGATGCTCAACACTACTAGCCAGTTGCAAATCACCATGCCTGGACCATAAAATATAAATAACTAATCAAACATGTCTGTTAAAAAATTACAATACTGATAAACAATTAAAGTAAAAACCAAATAAAATTTGAAATATCCTTCCTATTTCTGATTCTGACGGTTTATTAGACGTTTTCCCCTAGATACTGTGGAAGACTTTTATCAGAGGGTATTTTATGAATGTTTAGTTGTAGATCGTTTCAATGTTCAATGCATTAATGAAAAATTCGCAGGATATACATTGATAAAAAAGTAATTTTTCAGTTCTTAAATTAATCAACCTAACAATCAATCAATTAATTTATTAAATAAAAATGGTTACATGGTTAATATTCAGGATTGCCTGGGTTTTGGAAACATTATGATTCTTAGGATCGTTTTTGAATTTTGAAAATGGTTTCAGAGTTTCAGCAGCTGCCCCAAGACACTATTCTATCTAGAATGTTTGACTAATATTAAATTTCCTTTTAAACTCATTTGCTGCTGTATACGTAGACAATTCTAAAATCTTTTGAAAATGTAGTTAATAGCATTGTCAAACCTACTTGTAATTTTACTACTGGTAACTGAACCAAAGAATTCAACATCTTAAAACTACATCCATAAATTTAACACAGGAAATTGCAGCTCTAAATCATTCAGGAAATACAAAATGGTTTATTTTGATATTACCGAGTATAGCGTCCTTGGCTCCATCTACTGGGCACGTTTGGTAATGGGCAGATAGCCATACCACAGCCAGAGTCAGCCAAACCATCTCAACTACCATCACGGCTGAAACAAGACATCAACTCAAATAGTGTTAAAGTAGACATTTACCAATAATACCAATTGAGATGGGGATGCAACCAGGTGTATTTCAACCAAAATATGAGTGAAGGATGAGTGTAGAATGGGAGTAAGATACTTTGTGTATTGTCAGAATTGCAATAAATGATCGTAGCAATCGTAGCATATATCAGAGATGCTAGTAGAGAGTAGCGCTCTGCTTCTGTTAGCTTTTCTGCATGTCTGAGCCGCGAAACTCACACTGACAGGTTGATTCGTTAGTTTGTGTTGTTAAAAACAAGTTTGTGATGAGTGATTCTGAAGAAGAAGATTTAATTTTGGTTGACTTGCACAGCTTCTTTGGCTGGATTTGTCTCCATAACAGCCATTAGTGGTTTGTCAACACAGAACCACGGATTGTCTCTGACTTAGCTATGGTAAAGTCGTATATAAACTTAAAGCAATAAGAAACAATCTAACATAAATTTAAGGACTATTAAGGTTTATTTACTAGATAATTTAAGTCATTATACAACCGGGTGTCCCATAATAGTCCCCCCGGTTAATTTTTAAACGGCTGCATATATTCAAGTTACTAGGGTAATGTAAAGTACTTTTTAGAGGTATTTTGAAATTCAACCCCCCCCCCCAAATAGGGGTTAACTAAGTTGCTGGGGGTAACTTAAAATGTTCAAATAGTAGCCCCTATCAACTCTAATCTTATCATTGCTATGATCATTTATTGCAATTCCGACAATACATCAAGTAGCACATCATTTTAAAGGCCATTAGTTTAAAAGAATTTCGGCAAAAACCAGAGGTCTATATTACAGAATGGCAGCCATTTTTTATTTTTCATCAGCATGAGAGAACCCATGTAAAAATATACACCAATAACCCCTATTAGCGTTTTTATGGGTAGCACCAGGTAAACTAAACTCATTATTATTGTAAAAAAAAAGGAAAAACTACTTTTTGATCATCAGTATGACAATTTGGGCTATTTTGGGGGCAGCTCAAAATTTTAAAATATAAAGCCCTGTCAAGTGACACCTCATTTTAAAGGCCATCAGTTAAAAAGAATCTCGGTGAAAACTAGTGGTCCCTATCTCAACCCAATACAAAAAGGGGTCAGTTTTTAGTATTCATCAACCTCACAGACCCCACATAAAAATGCATTAAAATGTCTCGGAGATGCGGAATACTACCCCCTGGAAAACCACCCCCCAGGTGAAACGTGACATCACGAAATCTGCCAACTAACCAATATGGTAGCCGTGTCCGTGACTGGAATACTACCCTCCTAGCAAAATGTGATGCCATGTAAATGTAATTTGAATTTGAGTAAATCCGTTTGATAACAGAAAGGGAATGTGGGGAATATCATAAAGAATTTTGAAATGTTACAGCAAGTTTGGTTGGTTAGGTTAGGTTAGTTTAGAACAGTATGACCACGAAACTTGAGTATCCGTGACTGGAAAACTGCCCCCTTGATCTCTGACGTCAACATGATGTATGAACCTGCTTGGGGGGGTAGTTGTCCAGGGGGGCAGTCTTCCGGCGACCCTAATATCCAATATTAACATTTTATCAGGGTGTACCAGGAAAGCTTATCCCTCCATAAGAAAAACAGTGTTCTTTTTACTTTTAGTTGGTATCACAATTTCCCCTGGGAACCCAAAATGAAACATATTGGTGCAGCTCAAAAGTGTTAAATGTAATGCCTGAAAACTAAAAACTGCCACCATCTTGTACTGGGTTGAGGTAGAGACCTCTGGTTTTGACCAAAATTATTTTTAACTGGAGACCTTCAAAATTACGTGTTGCTTGATGGGGCTTTATATTTAAAGATTTTGAGCTGCACCCGAAATACCCCATTTTTGGGTCCTGGGCAAAATTGTCATACTAATCAAAAAGAAGTTTTTACTTTCTTGTTAGAATAATAATGAGTTTAGTGTCCCTGGTACAACCCATAAAAACGCTAATAGGGGATATAGGTGTATATTTTTACATGCGCTCTCTCAGGCTGGTGAAAAATTTAAAAAATCGCTGCCATTCTGTAATGGATTGAGATAGAGACCTCTGGTTTTCGCCGATATTCTATAAAACTAATGCATTTCAAAATACCCCCAAAAAGTACTTTACATTACCCTAGTAACGTGTATCGAAGCTCGTTTGAATAAATGCAGCTGTTAAAAATTACCCAGGGGGGGACTATTATGGGACACCCGGTATATAATTGTTGCAATGCAAGAAGTTAAAAAGCATTAAAAAGCTTTTAGAGGTTAAACTGTTTTGCTTATAAACATTTCTGGTGTCATTGTTTGACAAAAAGAATCATCTTTTTTCCATTTTTCTGCTGAAAATGACTTCCACAGACGTTGTCCGTATACAATTTACAAAAATGAACAAATAAATAAAAACTGTAGTGTTTTTTACTTGGCGCATGTGTGAAATACTCATTGGCCATTTTTCTCAGATCTAAGGCCTCTAATTATTTTTTTTTATTTTGAAGAACTTTGTCATGGAATCATCCCCCCTCCCACAATTCCTGTAGGAGTACAATGGTAAGTGTCACGAATGAATGGTAACTTATTTAGTTTAAGATTCGACAATGTCTATGACTTCTGTGTTTAATGACAATAAAGGGTTCCTATTCTTATTCTTATATACTTACACAGCCTGATATAGATGAGATATCTCATAGGAGCCCGAGCATCTACATCCAAGATGCCGCCTCGCATGGCCACCATAGAGATCATGAGATCTAAGAAAGCCGAGCATACGAGGATTCCTGCGTAACCGAGACAGTACTGCCATAGTAACCAGACACAGCGGATACTTCGGTCAAAGTCTGCCAGCACCAGCACTACCGTTATCACCACCAACCTAAAAAAGACCATTTAATCAGACGTGAAACCAAGAAGTATGTAATGAAAAGTTCGATAAAGATTAAACTTAGAGGCAAAAGAATAAAACTAGTAACTGTAACCACAAATCGTTTTGGTGAGTCGGTGGCTCAGTCAATAGCGCCCTAGACTTCGGGCAGCGATGTCTCGGGTTTGGATCCTGGTGCCTGCCACTTCTTTTTATCAGTATTGTTCACTCTTGTACTGGGCCGGCCAGCCCCCTCGCTTTGCTGAATACAGTCAGGCCTCGGGCCTGCTATATGCTATGTGGATGGGCAAATGTAAGATTAAAAGAGGCCTCCTGGTTTAAAAAGAAATCTTGATGTTTTGTCACAACTAAAGGTTATTGAACGACATGCTTTGTATCTGATAAGATTTACATTGGAATGAGGTGCATTGTCAGCTATATTATACAATTGAGTATGAAAATATCAATGTTAAATTTATTGAGATATAAATTGTACAATATCATTTTCACTTTAACTAACATTATTAACTTTAAGGTATACCTATGCTTAAATTGAAAGCTTTCCATCCCTTATAGAAATGTGTCAAAGATTATTTCATTCAGTCTTCCTCCAAAATATAAGTTAACATTTAGTTTTTCACAATGCATATTCTAAAAAACATCAAATTACAACATTCAAATGTATAGTTTATCCATTACATACTCAAATCTCAATAGTTAACAAAACACATTCATATTTAATTTTCTAATGGTTTAGTAGTTTGTTTGATACAGGTTAAAATCTACAAAAATTTACGATACATAATCACAGACAATATAATCCAGACATGGTTCTTGTTCTTGTTTTTACATAAAACCAACTAAACCAATTACAAAAAATATTTTTGTTGAACTCAACCCAACAGAGAGTAATATTTTGAACACATCTTAATATAGCCTATTATAAGAAATAATAAAATCTGAGATACCACAACTAATGTGATTTATTCTTAATGAGATGTACAAAACTTTCTGATAACAGAAAAGGACAATTCTGACAATCTAGAATATTTGAGCAAAGAACCAGTGAAGAATTATTCAGCTGTAAAAAATGGTTGATTACGAATGACTGCCTCTGACATGAATAAAGCTTTACAAAGTGGCTGAATATTCTTGTAGAGCGTATAACACAAGTCCTCAGTATCAGCTATCTTGCAAATAACATCCTCTATACTCCCATGGTAATATTCAACCAAAAACCAAACTATGTAATACAGTGTATATTAAAATGGCTCCATTATGTAGTTAAAAGGATTAAAAAAAATATATGCTCATATTATTCCTACATTTGTTCCAATATTTAATTTGGAATCTGCTCTTATGAATCAACAAAATGAGAAATCTTGATGAATAAACAAATAACTAACACTCAATAAAACAGCCAACCAATAACTAAATAATCATTGTTACGAACCAATCTTAACATGGGAAATTTGTAAGCCCTGGGTATACAGAGCTCTGAGGGATTTAAGATCTGGAATAAAACAACAATATCTCCAAAGATTCATTGTAATTTGATGGCAAATGTGTAGTTTTAAGTAATGCATACAGAATATAAATTTGGTTTCATAATAGACAGACACATTGAGGTACTTGGACTGCTATGTTCGGATGTACACCGCAATCACAGTACATGCACTACAAAAAAATATTCTTACATGTGTTACTAAATTTATTTAATATTTATCAGAATGAAAACCGTTATAAAAATAAAACAATAGGGTGAAAATATTACTTTGATTGATTAGTAACATGAATATTTTGGTGTTTTGTTAAATTTAAGGTTATTTGGCATGAATGATTGAGAGCGTTACAGTAGAACCTTGATAACAAGACTCTCAATGGGATTATTAAATGAAACTTGTTATCAAGGGTGACTTGTTATCGAGGGTCTTCTTATCAAGGTTCTACTGTATAACGTTTTCTGTGTGTGTTATTTGTTTATTTTCTGTGTTTATTTGTAGCCAGCGTTTCTCAGATACATTTAAGTTTCTTAGAAACACTATTGTCATATTATTAACTACACACAAAATCATAAACACAAAGATTAATTTAAAGTTGTATACATTAAAAGTTTTATAAACTCAATTTAACTTGTATTTGGTATTCTTTGTGTAAATCCTTTTTCCTCACAATTCATTGAGAAGTAGTATCTAAATATTGGTTCTTGTATTTTATCACCGATTCAGAAAATTAGTTGATGCAAAAAAGGGAAACAAAGTACCTACTCGACAAATCGTAAGGTTTAGGATTCTACAATCAAATTTAGCAGCCTTGCTTGGTAGCTATGAACACCCACCTTAAACCTCTAGATAGAATCTCCAATCGATCCCAATTACCTAATGGAGCGAACAGTCAGGAAAAAGAGCAGTTAAAGAGCCTTTCTTTCTATCAATCATCTTCATTTCATGGACATTTACATCTCAAAACATGGAATATCAGACAGAATATTTATAAAACCAGCGTGATATGTGTAGCTGTATATTCAATTACATAAACCACTTAAGAAATGGAAATTGGAAAAATCCATTTAAAAAATATTAACAGTTATAGTTTTTGTAATTGATTTATTATCTCTAATTACAATGTTTTTTTCAACATGTAAACGTAGCAGGTTGGATTTTCTAAGAAATGAAATGAAATGAAATGAAATGAAATGAAATGAAATGAAATGTTTATTCGTCACATAAGTTTACAAGATTGTGATTTTCACATATAAACATATGACATGTCAATACCACTTTACTATCTAATAATACCTTATGCTAAATTCTTTGTTTTATCAATCCATAAAACCTAAAGCTAAGTTTTTATAAAATCATCTAGGGAATAAGGAGACAAGAGAATGAGATAAGATTTTAGTTTTCTTTTAAAGGATGACATATTTTCTTCAGTTTTAATTTGATCTGGGAGGTTATTGTAAATTTTCCTACCCATGTACCATGGCGATCCTTCATACAGAGCTGTTCTATGCACAGGATATTGAAGATCATTCCTGTGTCGGGTGTTATATTGATGAGTGTAATTTTTCAACATAAATTCCTTATAATTTCTTTTTACAAAGATGCACAGTTGAAAAATATAAACTGCATAAATTGTCAAGAGTTTCATCTGAATAAAAAGGGGGCGGCAAGAGGAACGTGGTCTGGTATCAGCTAAAATTCTAACGGCAATTTTTTGTAAGATAAAAATATTCTTGTTAATGGGGGAGCTGCCCCATGAGATAATACCATAGGAAGACCTAGACATAAAATAAGAATGATACACAGCAAGAGCTGCATGCAAACCCGAAGACTTATAAACTACCCTTAGACCAAACAGTGCTTTTGCTAGAGACAAGCTAATTTGTATTTGATGATCAGACCATTTTAGATTTTCATTTATGTTTACACCCAGGAATTTAGTATTTGCAGAAAATTTTATGGAATCACCTGATTTTAGTTTGATTGTTATCTATCTCACCTGCCTTCAGTTGTGGATTATGGAAATGAAGAAGATGAGTTTTGGAACAGTTTAGATGTAGTCCGTTTTGTGCAAACCAAGTTATCATGGAATCTAAATCTCGGGATGCAATGTTAGTTGCGGGAAAAAAGCTTGATGGTAAAAACATTTGTTATTCTTTTTTAACATTAATAAGTGTTGACTTAGAACAAATTATTTTAACCTCAAATGCATACATTATATTTGCAATTTTTACCTTGTACCTTACTATATTCAAAATCTCAGAAAAATTTACCAAACAGCTTAATTGTCATTAAATGATTTTTACACTCTTATACCACAAAACAGATTATAAAAATGTTGTCTCATTTAATCTGCAAGTGCAATATGTATTAGAGCAGTAGGCCTATACGCTATTAGTTCATTAGACAGGAAAACCATTTCATCTTCAAACCAAAATTAGCATTACAATTTGCATCAAGAGTGGAGTTGAGGTTTACTGACCCCTGTATAAGCTTCAAAACTAATACTAAAATCAATACTTCTGAGTTCACTGATTTGACCAAGTGTTTACTCTGTAGTATGAAAATATTTTGAATACAAATTTACACTAATAAAAAATAAAATATAAATTTGTTTGAATTGATATTTTTAGAAATGATGTAATAATTATTTTGTTTTTTAATACGTACGATTAAATATATTTTATGTATCAATTTGTGGCATATAATATATTAAATATTTTGTTGTATTGTAACAAAATTAAAACTGGAGTAAAATATTGGAACAAATCAATCAACAACTATTTAAAAATGTTATGTAACTAAAATAAAAGAATTTAATTTGAACCTCCATGAAATGTACTATATTCAGGATCATGCAGAGGAATGAAAATGTCAGCTTGTTAATCTCAAAGAATTTCTCTGCAGAATATTCCCTAGAGTTTGAACAAATCCTTCAACCCATTGAGTCAAAATATTACTAAATATTTACTCGACCTTTGAAACAAATATACTTCTGTCTGCCAAACTTGCACACACTTTTTTGATTATTTGTTTAACATAGTAAATAGTTTGCAGGTTTCAAATATAAATTGTAGCATATTTAAATAATGCAATGCAGTGCTTATTACTAATATAATACTATGATTTTTGTTCAATTTATGATACTTTGTTCCAAAACTGTCCTTTTAGCGAATTTCCTTATAGGGAAGTAGCTATTACCGTAGGTAAGACCTAGGCCCGGGACCGATTTACCTTTTAATTTTTATGACCTTAGAGGCCAAACCATTCTTTCAAATTTTTATATATGTATATATATACGTCCGTGAACGGGATAACTTGAGTAATTATTGTCCAATTTTGATGAAATTTGTTTTAAATGTGTAAGGCGGGATAAACTTGCACGAGTTTGCGAACCAGCATGAGCTTCAAAAGCTTTAAAGAGCTTCAAAAAACAAATAATTTAGTATATCAAAGTGTTTTGGTACGGTTATTGGTAACAGAGAAAATTTAAAAAATGTAAATTCAAAA